TCTCATGTTTTGGAATATTTTTATTAAATTTAGACCAACAATAACTAACTTCATATTTATATATTGGATGTTTTGTTTTTAAATCTAGATATTTTTAAATGTTTTTGAGGTCAATCTAGATTCTGGATGTTTTTATTCAGACAAAAGTTGCAGCTCTGCTGTTGCTTCGTGCAGACTGTTTTTCTGTTTTCTGACTTTGATGTCTTGATATCGTATCCGAGCGTTGAATACAAAAGTGTGCCGTCAATAGTTCGGACTGCTTATCTTGTGAACCTGTGTACTGGGGCAACAGAATAGCCGAGTATTTGCCAGTATTCAAAAGTCAATTAAATTGTCGTTTAGCGAGGAAGAAGACGGTTCTTCCACACAGTATAATGCAGTTTAATGCTCGATAACCATTCCTGGTTCCCCGCGACTTCTCTTCCCCAGTAAAAATGTGTATTTTTGTTGTATTTTTTTAATTTTGTATGTTATTTTTTACTGAATGGGAAAAAATAAACTTGACTATGTGTATTACTGTAAAACGCCATTGCCTAAAAACCTCGCTACGTTATAAATATGCATTCTTAACCCTAATTGGATAATTACTAATTTTCTTATTTTAATCGTTGGCGGGGGCTTTGTTCCAAAAGTTCAAAATATCTAACGAGTTACACAATATTCACGTCCAGTCTGAAATTGAACCTGGGAGGTTTTTTTTACGAGCATCATCGTCCCAAGACTGCGGTGCTGGTGAAAATAGTAGGATGAAGCTTCTTCCATCATTTGTTATGCTCTAGCGCAGCGGTTCCCCTTGTGGGCGTTTGCGATAACTTGGGGGCGCTGATGGCTATTTGGGCAATAGGGAGGCGCTGGATGTCAAACTGGGCGATGGATGTCAAACTGACATCAACACAGGAACTCACAAGAAGTGTGATATTTTATGTCATTTACTCTTATGTTTTGGTTCAAACTGGTTTGCCTGTGATTTCTGAGTTGGAAATTTCTCGCTTAACGTAGAAGAGGTATTATGATGTAGCGAATGTACATTGTGTAACTATGGATTATAATGTATTTAACCCTTTCATATTAATAGCATGTAATATTTCACAAAATAGGCCACATTATGTTTCGCAACAGCGATAATGCATTCGCTCCATGTATTTCCTTTCTCGTTTCGACCAATTTGATGACGTATCGTTTTCGGTTTGCCGAGATTGCTCTATAATATTGTGCTTTTTGTTTCACTTGTGATCTGACCGTAATCTTACTGCATTAAGAATTAAGTGTGTACAATTTTATCTGTATTTGGAATTTGGATCGTGCATCTTTTCAATAATATACAACAATTCGACATTCAACATCGTGTGCTTATTGACGTCTGAGGGAATCCAGATTGGAGTCACATTCCATAACACGTGTAATTAATAACGTGGGAATCGAACTTTGAATATTAGGGTGAACAGTCTTTATCCCTAAGACCCGCATCTCTTCTCCCTATAATGACTTTTTTAAATCCGTATTGTTTCATAATAATCCTAGCGCATACGGCATACCCGGTACGCTTCCTTCATCATGTATTGCACAGTTAGTTGTACTGTTTCGAATAACAGCTTTATTTTACTATCGGGTTCTATGCAGTGGTGGGATTTAAATCAAATTTTCATCAGCCCGTTCCATCACAAAAATCATATTTTTCACCCGGTTCTGTTACAAACAGAACATTGACGGTAATCTGTAAAGCTAACCGGTTCGCTGTTCTCATAAAATTCCGTGAGAATGTTCTATAGAACCGGTGCGAACCGGCTGAATCCCACTACTGGTCCTATGGTGTTTTGAAGCAGTAGCCTAAGTACAACACCCTTATGTTATAATTTTGGTTTTGTTAAGAACATCACGAAAAAGATGGGCATCTGATTGAACGGACGCACGCCAGATAGGACCATCTCCATGTTGCGACTTAACTGGTTCATTTTTATTTTTTGAGTCATTGAATAATAAGGCTACATAAGTAATTCATAAATTGGCAAACGGCAAAGATTTCTTTTTTTTTTCTGCAATTGCATCCTTGAGTTTACCACTCGCTTGAGAATTGTCCTGATACAAATTGTCCCTCGAACACCCTACATATCAAACTCTGAAAGGTTTTCAGTCCGATAATTAAGGTGCCCACTGGATGTCATTGCTGACTCTCTCAGAAAGCAAGCGTCTGACTTAATGTATGGGGCGTCGCACCGCCATGCTGGAACCACTGCTGGTCACCGCTATCAAGTCATGTCCAGATTTTTGTCGGCACAACCACGTAATGTTTTCTATTCGCCGTTTGAACTCTTTCATTTTCATGTCCTGCGCTTCAGCAGAAATCTAAGTGGTTCGAAATTTGGCGAAACTTCTGAGAAAATCATACGCAAACAGAAGTTCAAGCGCAAATAGAATTAAATAATTTTTTTGGAGATGGTTAAGAAATTTTTAGTTTCCATTTTCTAGATAATCCTGAATTTCCAGAATCGAACATGCACCACTAGTCCACTCCCATTGGGTTTATACTTTCAAACCCATGTTCAGTCTTTCAGTATTCCATTTTTTGGGGAACAGAATCAGATTGAAATATTCTCACGTGTAAAATCGGGTTAAAAGTTTTTTATATTGCTCTTGCCTGCTCATTCTTGATAGAGCGTGTATTTAGTGCAGTGACCGCACTTTTTCATATCAAGAGAGATTCCTTTAACAGTGTCAGACGACGGGACTCAAGACTGTTTTTGGCCGAAATGAAGCCAGATATTATCAAGCTGGTAGCATTTCACTAGGATACCCTTCACATTATTAATACTAATGATAAATAGAGAATAAAGGTGCTTTGACTTTTTTGTCCGGAAGGCGTTTGCTAGTTAAAAAGTCGTCCAAGGGGGTGCTTTCATAAAAAAGTTTGGAAAACACAGACACTGCTCTAGCGCCTTTAAAGTTATCACGAAAAGATATTTTGATGAAATTCTATATGACTCTTCAGAATTTTTGGTTTTATGGCGCTATTCCCGGTATATTCACAAAGTCGTGAACCAGATTTTAGTTTATCATGCGAAATTATATATATATATACTTAAACCTGAAACCTAACCCCAAATCAACCAAAACTGAAAAATGTTCTAACTTACACAAAGTGTGTCACCATCAGGGACAGTCCTGCCATTACAGCCTACATGCCTTGGTTTGTGGCAGCACAATTTTAATTTGCTGACGTGGTACCCATTGAGGTGTATATAACCTCAATGGTGGTCACGACATTTGTGTGTGGCAGCTGAAAAGTCAGCCGCCATGGTTATGAAATCCCGCCATGATTTTGCGGCAGCTTCAGACGCCTCACGGTGCTCAAAAGCAAAACTGCACTTGCATTCGCGAGTATGGTGTTTAATCTCGTTTTGGGCATTTAATCCTAGTTCTTCATAACGTAGTTTCATAAAGATTGAAACAATAATGTAATGTAAAACAGAAATACTAATGCATGGGTATAGCTCTGACTGCAAGCGGATCAACCAATGACGTTTTATGTAATGTAGGCTTTGAAGAACTGATTCTAGAGTAAGTTTTTACCCCTTTACTTCGTTTTTCGGTTATTTGATGTAACATTCAGTTGGTGTATGATGCTTGTAATAAAATGTCAAAAATAAATAAAAACTTGATTTAATAAACTGCGTCAGGTATTGTTATTTTCCGGCTGTGGGTTGAAGTTTGCATGGATTTCAGCATAACTTTAAGGCTGAAGCGATCCTTCAAATTGAAGGTCTTCGTTGAGTTTCGTGGAGAGATCAGAACAGATCAGTTGAGAAAATTTGATCCATCGTTTTTCTTGTGTTTCATACTTTGGGACAGACCTATCACTGTTAATTCTGCAGTAACCATCAACTACACATCTGCTAGTGTTTGAAAGCACATATATGCTAATTCTGATGTAGGGTTGCCATACCGTCCGGAAAAGTCCGGACATAAGACCAAGTCTTATTTTCGGGGAAACACTGTACGTCATCAACGAGACGTACTAATTCGCGTTCGATTTCGGCAGGGTTGACTTTTAAAAGTTCGAGTCTCGCAAACGAAGTACACTTTATGCAAGCAGTAAAGGCCCAAAATCCTAAAAAATTATATAGAATCAAATTTGTCACAAAAGTGTTTGCGACACTACTTGCTGCCATTTCGCGAGCTGTTCAGTTCATTTATCTGCTGAACCGAGTTTAGCGAACATGAGTTATTTTTTCAGGATCTCAAAGCAAAATCACCCAGAGATGAGGAGGAAGAGTTGACCCTTTGCCTTTATTCTTTGGGCTTACATGTTTACAAAGTTTATGCGGCATAAAGTACACATTAACGATCACAAAATTCAGTTTTATTTATAGAGTTTTTTTAGTGTAATTCTTAACTGGCAAAGTATTTTGCTCAAACTCTTGGATAGATTTTGACCCCAAAGTTCTATGTAGGTAGATCAACACCAAAAGTATTTAATAGACGTTTGTCATTATAAATTCACCATCAACTGCAGTATGTTTTAACGTGCGCAGCTAGAAGCGACTTGGCACCAAATAGGGAAATTTTCCCAAGCAAACAGAAAATTTCGGACAGATCTGACATACAGTACATATGTGACATTGAAATTGATCACGGCGGCTAAGTGTTTCCACTTTTTACAATCATCAGATTTAGGAATTTGAGATGTCTTCACAGAAATCTCATCTCGAGTATGTACAGTACTAGAAGTAGGGACAGATATGTATATGAGTTATATCACATAAATACTGTAAGTTGAAGAGTATATATGCTCATTGTGTAAGTTATATATATATATATATATATCACAGAAAATAACGAGGACGCACTAACTCAAATCATGCACAACGCAGTTGACTTTTTAAGACCGCTCGAACTGGAATCTTTAACCATACCACGCTCAGAGGAACGGCATACTGGATTGAAGTTTGTCATTTTCCCCTTGACTCTTTCTGCACTATTCAATCGCATTTTAGGCAGTCGAATCAAGGTTGGAATGTTGAAATATATTGTATTAGTAAAGCTTAAAAAATATGTGAGGAACATTCTAATAGCATTTTCATTAAGACTAATAATATTAATCTCGTCAAGTTATTTAATTCTGTTAAAACATCTCGCCTGTGCTGCATGATTTTACGTTGGCAACTTGGTGCTCGTAACAGTGATAAACTACTTTCTATTTCCGCTTATACTTTGAGCTATCTCGGAAATCATGAAAGCAAAAAATATGTTTTTGTTACACAGGTCCACTAATGTGAGGTATAGAGTTTAAACTCTTTATTTTATTATCTTTCTTCCACTTCATTCTTCTGTTCTGAAACCAAATTTTGATCTGCCTTTCCGACAGACAAAGTGAGTGAGCAATTTCAATTCTTCTACGTCTCGTTAAATACCGATTAAAATAGAATTCCTTTTCCAGCTCTAAGGTTTGAAATCTTGTGTAAGCAGTTCTTGTACGTTTTGTTGGATCAACAGTCTCACCTGAAAAACAAATTGACACATTTGACTACAATGTGGGGACTATATATAATATAGGTTCTGAGGATGGTGGTGTATTAACGTAAAATGGCGCCCATGGCAAATTTTAAAATTCGCACTCTTGATCGTTGACAGACAATTTTTAACGACTGCTGTTGCATTTGAATACTTCTACGTTATTATTTGAATCAAAATACAAGTTTAAATTATTTTCAATTTGAAAATATTATATTGAAAACATTTCACGATTAAAACGTTTCGCCTCTTTTGCGCCCCTGTCCAAAATTAATAGGACTAGAAATGCTCTGATCTGGGGGTCGGATTACTTTTCTGTGACATCCACTAGTATCATGCCATTCGTGTTTTTTCACAATTGCTCTTTCAAATAATATTAGGAATCCGTGGAGAATTCGAGGTGAAAGTAGGCTACTTATTTACTTTCGGCAATAGACCGTTAGCCAGAACGTTCGCGACAAACTTGAGGCGTTATTAAGCTTGGCCAATTTATTGAATTCACTCAATAGGTCGTGCGATAAACACAAGGTTATGGGAAACTTGAAACTGAAATTGAACGCCCGCCAGAATTTGGGGTAAAAAAGAGTTCAAGCCCCCATCCATTCATCTTCGACAAAAGGTTACGCCTGGCATTCATTGAGGGGTTATAAAGACCATTAATCACTCGTTTGTTTTTGTCTCGAGGTGTGCCCCATTGATGAGCGTATTGCTGTTAATTCATCTTTTCTCAAACTTGATAATGGCATTTTAAATATTTTCATATTTATGGCCCACACTCAGTCGCAAGATGAAGTTTTAGCAAATGAATATTTTAACCTTCAGTAAATAAAGGTAATTTAACTTGCTTTCACTACAACCTTGACCTCCAATGATTCTAGTACAGAGCGGGCCATGCATGAACTTTGTTTAAAAAAATTTTACCATATCAGAGATGGCAATATTATATTTGTTCATACCTGGTATACAGGATTGTATTACTGAGAAATTACAGTTAAATTGATGCAATTTTATTACTATACCAAATTATTTGTGCCATGAGACAGGATGTGTTTTGCGTATAAAATAAAATAGTTGTATTTATGCACAACACAATTGAAAGTACAAAATGGCCTCCATTGTCGTCTGAAAATATTGACTCAGTTGCTTGCAAATCGATTCATATATTCATTTTTTTAACGAAAATATGACCTAATGTTCTGCGACTATTCATAAGACACGTACTAATGTAAAACAAATACTAGTATGAAGGTAATAGACCTTCCATTAAAATAATTTTGAATATCATAAACAAGTTTCATTTTTCTTTAAAATATCATAAGAATAAATCGTTCACATTTTGGGTACTAATCGGAAATTAATTAAATTTGAAGAATGCAAAATTTTGCCATTACTTTTAAATTGAAGGAAAATCGTTATCAGATATGCTAGGAAATACGCGACGCCATTTTTGTTCGAGTTTCTTATATTGATCTTGTTGTGTAATTTTAGCTCCTTCCCAAGTGTGAAAAAAATTTAATTATGTCGCCCAAGTAGCAGCTTGGGACAATGAGCAACATGCTGAATTAAAATTAATTCAAGGAACAATCTTTTGTATAGGAATTGTTTGTGACTTTGACTCCGAACAAGGATGCGTACGTGTATCAATTGATATGTAATTAGCTACTATTTTAAAAGAAAAAAATTCTCGCGATTCAGCAAGTCAAGTATATTTTTTCCATCCATAAAAATCCATCATATACAATATCATACAATTCAACAATCACAAGACGCGGGGAACCAAATGGTTATCGAGCAGCGACACCCAAGGTTAGTGTCGACGAGTACCGCATAGCATTGTCAAATTATGTAACTAAAATATTTTACTAGAGATATATAATCATTAGAGATAATTTTATGAGAATTGCCTGCCTAATCTATTAAACATGGACTTCAACAATTTATTTTTTCTTATCAAAATTCAAAATCTAATAATTAATTACACCCAATATTATCTTCTTGATTTATCAATAAATTTATTTAATTCAAACATGAAGTATACATCTCTGTTAAAATGTAAGAAAATGCGAGTTGTCAACTGCGAATATAAAATTTGAAATAGAGATGAAATACTTCAAAGTTCTAGGGCAGTGTTTCCCAACCCGAGTCCGCGGTCTCAAATGAGTCCGCGGAGCGTTTGAATGAGTCCGCAACGAGCCAGAAATTCGTGCGAGCCGCAAACGATTTTGCGGAACTTAACTATCAGCCAATTTACGATTTACGTTGGAATTTACTTAAAACATAAAAAGCAAGTTTATTCACATAACATTAATCGAGTCAATAATTACTCGTATTTATTCAAATATTCGAATATTCAACTATTAGAATAGCAATTTAATATTCGAAAATTTGGTAAGAGGTTACGCGACAGGTCACTTGCACTTGTGCGCGTCCCCTAATCAAACGATTGGATTTCACAACTCACTCACGAATTTTCGACGAAAACACTCAAGTCGGCACACGCGTCGATAAATGGTGGCAACCCGAATTTTCCAAATTGAAAAGCGGCAATACAAAACGGAGAACACCATAAGTTTTGTTTTATGATGGTCAGCGACCGATTAAAAACGCTTTTTTAGACATTGCAAAACGCAAAATTTCGGGTGCTACCGTAGTATACGTACGAGTATACAATCAAGTTCTACTTTCTGGAAATTTATAACAGATAGTGAGATTTTTCTAACAACGATAACAAATTTGCACGATCGCAAAAATATGTAACAAAACTAAATATAATCGGGCAATATAGTCTCACATTAGTATGTTCACACTTCACAGATTGCCGATTGGCATTTTAAAGAAGAAATGCTTTCACCTTGTCGTAAGTCCACGCAACCGCGAGTTACCATGAACACAATTAAATTAATATAGAAAGACATTGGATTGAATATTGTGCGACAGAAAGCCAATTATACACTAAAAAAGTCGGCTCTTTTTAACGAACGCGTAATTGCGGCGAATTTTCGATTTTGAAATTCGTTACAATTCTGTTGTATTTTATTTTATTGCTTCTTCGCACAGGTTGCAATAAACGCACTTTGAGTCCGCAAAGGTTTTCGCGGGTGAGAAAATAGTCCGCGACCAAAAAAGGTTGGGAAACGCTGTTCTAGGGGCAGATTGATATGATTTTCTGGTTATTTCGGAACATTATCTAGTAAACACACTCATCGGCTAAATAAAATGAGACTTAATTATAAAATAAACTCCTTAGTTAATATCGTGTGTTGTACTATGCCCACTTTCTCACGACTATGTATTGTATGGTGAAAATTCAATATATTATAACACACCAAACTGCATTTGGATATTACTCGTTCAATCATCTAACTAAACCAGTGTTTCCCAACCTATGGGTCGCGACCGAAAACTGAATCGCCTGAAAATTATCTCGAGTCGCTTGTTTTTGCAACAAAAACTTAAGAATGATCAATTTCATTTTCTAGTAAATTTTATCGTATATTTTATATTTGTCTTGAAGTGTTGCAGAATAGTAATTGTATATGTGATGAGTATCACAGCATAAAAACTTAGCAGCATCTATTTTGCTCAAGTGAACCCAAGCCACGATTTCAAAAACTAGCTGATTGCTAACAAGCGCATCTTGCGGAAAGTAAATGTCATATAAAAATGATTGTTTTATATTAGTCTTTTAATTTTGCAGCCATAAAAGCACTACATGTTTACTATCTGATTATATCCCTGGGTCGCGAGATTTTATAAAATTTGTTTTTCAAAAATGTGGGTCGCTTAAAAAAAAGGTTGGGAACCACTGATCTAAACGACCACCTACTTTAATTGATCGTAGTTCGTAGATTAGCCTTGATGGTTTTACAATAATAGTTATATACATTATTGATAAACAATGCATAATGGACTGACTTTTTATGGTTCCCGTACATTTGAACCAACGTACATTTGAACCCACGACAATTGCACCTGCATACTATTGCACCTATGGAAAAAAAATTTGTTTTGCAGATATTTGAACCCATACTAACCCTAACCCACGGGTTTCAGCACCAGCATATTGATTAAACCCGCGGATATACACATGGGTTCAAATGTATGGTCACCACTTTTTATACGTTAAAACTTACTATTACAGTCCAGAAAACGTAAATATTGAATAAATACACATACGTATGCTTAATATAGTGACTCAAATTGAATACAACCACTCGTCGAAGTATATACATTCGATTTCAGTGGCGTAGCATCCACCCACGCAACCCCCGCGGTCGCGGGGGGGCCCACAGCGCAAAGGGGCCCAAGCGGTTAGAATTTAGAAATTTAAGCCGCAAAACCAAAAGCTGCATTGCAAAACCAGTATAATGCACATCTTATATCGTTGATGTTAGTTCTGCTCAAATCGTTTTGTTACGTAACAATGCCAGGGAGTCGTCGATTTTCGGCGTCTTGGGGTTTGATCGCACCGGCAAAATTACGAAGGCTGTCAGGATTACGTCGAAACCAAAACCTCTCAGTGGCACACAGAAACGCAGAAAAAGGGCAGAGGAGGAAGCACGTATGAAAAAATCAAAGTAACCAAGATAAACGGCAAATTTTAGGTTACCATTGCCTTTTAATAGCGACATGTTATGCTTTTTGACGAAATAAAAAAAAGCGTTGTTTTAGCTTATGTCCGAGAGTTTTTAGGGTCATTTCTACGAAATATTTTTGCGGAGGGGCCCACGAGAGTCTTGCTACGCCACTGTTTGATTTGGTTTTAATTAGTTCCTGATAAGATTCGCATAGATATATACGATTGCGACTAATTGGCATAAGTTATCTAATACATACGATCTTAAAGATGGTTAATAACAGATTAAAATATATACATTTGGATCCGAGAGAGTGACAAAAAATAAAAAGTTTGAGTTCCGGAATCCCAAAATGATAGCATTTCGAAGAATATTTTGATTATCGATTTTTGGTATCCAATGGGACTCAGAGTGGCGTTGAAAAAAGCAGCAAAACGTGTCTTCACAGTGTACAATATATATAGTAGCTGTACATAGTGTTCAACTGTATTTTGTTTTCGATAAATCAACTTATTCTTCTCTTTTATATACAGGGGTGATAGAAATTGTTAATACTGTCTTATGCTCCTATAAAATTAATTTTTCTGTTCAATAAAACTATAAATTTGGAATAACATTTCGGCGTACATTTATTTGTTTTATGACTAGTATAGTGACTTTAATCTAATTACAGTTACATAGATAAGATAATTTTGTAAATATTTCATAATAAGCATCATAATTTTAATAACGTTCATCAAAACTGATATTTTAGGCTGACTTTTCAATTCAGTAACTGTTTCATAACGTGATGATTTTCAAAATCTGTACTTCAATATATATATATATATATATATATATGCCAACCGACTGACCCGTGGTGTAATAAATTATGAAGGTAATGCCAAATAGGAAGGACGAGATGTATCTATAAAAAAGAGCGCCTTCACGTTTGTCAGTGACTTTATTTTGTTTGGAACTTTTATCAGAGAGATTTGTGAAACGAAAAAGAAAGCAAAAACTGAGGCTGGCGTAAATTCGAAAAATATTTGGCTTTGAAGTAAAGCAAAAATACTGCAATCAATAAAATAGCGTCTGTTCCATTCGGTGGCGTGGGGGATATTTTCTAGCAAATTGATGATTTACACAGTAGTCTTGATTAATAGTTGTGGAACTCAAATCAAATCCGACAAACCTACAACTCAGATAATTGTAATCTAATCGTCCAATCAAGAGGGGTCTTCATGGATGCTTGACATAAAGTAGCAATAATGATTTGAACATAATATCATCGAAGCAAATAAAATCACTTACTGTGCTGAGAGTGAATTCGTCTCATCCACGGGTAAATTATAGTTGAATTCGATTTCGACGATTTCTTGGTTTGAGTAGTTTTCAAATAGTCGTTCCCTCTTTCAAGTCGACCAATTGGTCCTTCGTTGTGATGCCATTCATTTGATTTGTCATTAAATGATTTTAACGTGTCCTTAACAGTTGAATAACACGGGACAGATGTTTCTGATGTCTTTTGATGAAATAACATATTTGTAGATTCTGTATTTAACTGATTGTCATTTTTTGTTTTAGTCTTTGTGCAGTGTGAGAAGCTTGATGATGACATTCTGGAATCAGATCTAATTTCCTCATCGTGATTCACGAATTCATCAGAAAAACTTGGTTTCCAAAAACTTGAATTCAGATTATTGCGCTCTGAAATATTCTTATTCATATTATGAACCCGTTCGCAGTTTGCAGACTGATTATGTCCAGAAAACGCTTCATAAAATCCTTCCATTGTGTAATTTACAGGAACATCATGCAAATATTGGTTGTTTCTGTTGATATCAGCGGCGAATCCGGCTTTGTCATTCATCATTTGAATTAGAAGTCTGACACAACGTAAATTACGATTATCATGAAAATGTTGAACTATATTTAATAAAGCTATATGTCGAGTACCGAAAAACAAACGTCGTCAAAGAGTATTATTAAGATGAAAACGTATGAACAGAAAATTACTTTCGCTGTGCTATCATTTTTCAGTACACCAAACAAAATGGCTGCTATTCGTATTAATGGCGGTAACGAGACCGTCACAAAATTTACTGATTTCGGTAGGAGACTGACAGCTGGAAAGGTTTGTTTGTTCGAATAATTATTGACGTTTACTATAGTAATAGAAAGATATACAACTAATAAAAACACATTGCTGCATGTAAAAACTTTGGTATTGCACAAACGTGAAGGAGCAGATTCTCTCACTCAAAAAAAAAACAATGGCAATATTTGACATAGCGACTGAAATTCGATTAATTTTTTGATGAATAACTACTATATTAGCTTTCTTAGTGAACATGCTAGATTTTTTAACTTCCGTAATCGGTTGATAAACAATATCTCTTGAAACAACATACCACGTTTTCTGAAGCCATATTCTCAACCATGACAACTTTTACGAAATTTGTTGCACTGGTACAGTGTTTTTAGTAGAATTACTGTAATATATATACTTAATTTTTTAGGTAGTTAATTATGCCTTGATGAACACAGAAAAAACACTATAGCTTGTTAAACCGTCCCTCCCTGACGTTCTAAAATCTTTCCTACAATGTGATATAACCTGAAACAACTAAATCCATCTTCAAAAGCCTATGCGGCATCCGAAAGTTGTTAACAATGTGTCAAAATACACAGACAACCTTGCGGATGCTAATACTCCTGTCAACTGCTCCACGCTGTAGGTGGAAAGAAAGGCACTTAGCAAGTTGGGTCAAAAGTCATAAATTGCGTAGCCGCCAAAAGGTTTCGTGCACTCGCACCGTGTTTGAAGCAAGTGCATTATCACGCCAAAGAAACATATAATGTGAACATGTGCGATAATGCTTTTTCATAATATTGATATTGATGAAATAGAGAGTTTTTCGTATAATTGAACTGAAGGCAAACAGTAAATTCGAACAAAGTATAGGCATGTGGGTAGATCATCAAATTGTTTCGCTTCCGTGACCACGCGTGATTATGGCAAACGAGGTGCAGATAGTTTGTTTTTCGACTACAATCATATATATATAAGATATACGGCGTTTCGTGCTTCTCGAACTCTTGTTTCGATTACCGCTCTGTTTGTATTGTCTAACTACAAATATATGTTTATACACAATCCCCTTTTAACAAATCGACCCCTTTTTTTGTTTAGTTTTTGATTAGCGTTATACCAGTAAATCACGTTTATTCGTACCATTTTTTACATTTAGTGCTTTTCAGTGAGTTAGTTAATATTCCCACTTTCACATTGTTTGGGTGCTGTTACAAACTCATTAGACAGCCAATGATTGTCGATACATCTGGTGTCCGATCACGACATCTTTCGCACATGAACGTAACTTTTGCTAGAACTCCACATTGGTGTTTTTACCTTTCACAGACTTTTCTGTTTATCGGTAGTTTGGTTCGCCAGTCTTCACTCAAAATCTCTCCTACATTATCAATATTTTTGCTAAGCGTCGAATCCTAATAATCCATTTCCAATACTTGTTTCATTACCAAGGCGAGGTTTGAACATTCCATTTTCAATGTTCGAGAAAAGAAATAGTGATAAGGACAGTGATTCATCACAAAAGTTTTTGTGTGTTTGTCAAAATGAAACGTAATCCATCTTGAACGATAAAAGAGCGTTTTCATTGTGTTGAATTTGAAAATACTTTATTTCTCGAGGAAAACGGATATTTCAAGTTCACTAGATAATATAGTTGAATGTTTATACATCACTATTGCCATTTGTACCGTTATTAAGCGCAACTATTGTGCCCTATATTTTAAATCGATAGGAGTAGATATTAGCTTGTTTGAAGAGTCTCGTCCATTCAAAAATAAAATAAGAATATATATATGTTTATCTCATTGTCACGAATGCCTGTGCTTAATGCAAATATAGTCGCTGTATATAGATTCATCATCTGAGATGTATTTATTACAAGATACGAGAATAATTTCACTCTAGAAAAACGCGCACCTCATATTACTAATTGCACAAATTAATAGTAGACGTTTTGAGCACAAATATATTCTCAGCAAAACATGAAATTGAGTTGAATCGACTATATAAAATGTAGTTATATATATATAAGAGTTAATGAATAGAAATTGTATTAGGCAGTCATATTGTATTTGATGACGGTAGTTGTGGTTTTTCGCTGTTACCAGTTTTTAAACTGCAATAGATAACATATCAATATCTAATTCATCACACTAAAAGTGGTCTAGTCCAAATAGACGTTGCGTTAAAAGTTAGGTCACGGCCACGTTCGAATGAAATTGAGTTATCAGTATTCATAATCCGTCAAGCATTTACCTCACAACCCAAATCGCAGAGATATTTTTGTAAAAATGTTTGAATTGGAAAATTAAACACCGAGATTACGGCAACCTACTACCGACGACGATGGATTTATATTCAACCACACAACAGCCCGGGTAGGCTACTTTGTAAGATAAATTGAATTTCGCTTGACGATCACCCGACAAAAAGATTTCATCGCAATTCCCATCCTTTTTGTTGTTATAGATGCAGCATATGAAACGGCAGTATACCTGTTAAATCATTCCCAGAAAAATATAGAGCTTGTCATGCGGAAGGAATAGTGTGAAAATTTTTACTAAAAACCTAGCAGATGGAGAGGCTAGATTTGGTTTCTCCACTAGTAAATTTGACCTGGAACAATGAATGTGAAATTCCAGCTCATTGAGACGTTGGACTTGACGAGTCCGGAGTGCGCAACCGATAAAACGGCTTAATCATATAGATAGAGAACAACGGCTTCTCTTATGGAAGAGACATAAGAGAAGCCGTAGGAGCGGCCCATGTCGGGATTAGTTAGCCAGTTATTTGTTTTCAGTTGCATGGACTTGGTGGTGGAGGAAGCCAAATCCGGCCAGCGGTTACTGGAACCACCCTAATGCGGCGAGAATCCATTAATCCTCTGGCACGCAATCAGCCCCCCCACTGGATTCAATCCGGTGAACCCACACAAGGTAATCAGAGGTGCGGTGGCAAGCTTATGTGTCACACCGCCGAGCAGGGGAATGCAATAGCTTCCACTTTCCAGTGTAACCCAATATCCAGTCAAAAATAAAACAACTTTTTTAATAGGAGAAAATTGTATTGGGAGACAAAAATAAAGCAAACAGAAGAAAAAACGCACCGAATGAATAAACAACAGAATTGCTGATAAATAACACAGAATCCGGGAACATTCCAGCCTCAAATTTTTTGTTTGAATCCCATCATCAAATTATAACCGACCTTGTGCTATCCAGTGATAAATAATCTGTAATGGCTTAATTAATGAACAGCTAACATACGGAAAACGATGATCCTATATATTTTCAAAAAATAAGGTAGTACGCCAGGAGGGGAAAACCCTATAAGAATTGTCTATGTCAGGTATTTGCTTTGAAATAATAATAAAAAAAAATGAATGACGCATTTGGGATAGATAATACAAGCGATGGCACCACAGCAATTTACTGTCCGCAACAAAAAATAAAGGATGGACCGACCAGATCAACAACAAATACGATCCTACAAATAATATAGTTAGACAGACTAGCAAGTCATATATAAAACGAAACTGATGAAATGTAGCGCAAAACAAGTCTGAGACACGGTTGGAGCGGTCATTTAAATTTCCCCCAAATATAGAAAGTAGCCTGATGTAATTCCATCTGGCAAAAGTAACCAGGAGAGTCGTTTTCAACACAATTGGCACCAATGGCTTTATAACATTCCTTGAAGCAAAATAAGTCTTTAGAATGAACAAGATAATACCATAAAAAGAAGGTTTAAGTGGGAGCGACACCTGGTGTCACTTCTATGACAGAAACGAAGTAAAAGACAAAAAATATAAGTATTAGAAAATGTTGTCTGCTTAAAAACAGAAGACAAGAAAAAACATAAATAGAAAAGAAATTCTGAAATTGAATAAAACAGAAAAACGTTCAAGTATCAAATGATATTTGTTTCAAGCACCAGTCAACTGATGGTAGATTTGATTATTCGAGTTCACTCATTAGTTTTTTACGTTTACAACCAAACAGAAAAAGATTTCAGGACTCCAATAGAACTAGAAACATAAGATTATTTGAGCATACTGATAAAGCATTGAATAAAAGCCTTGCTGAAGCATGCTACAATAATGGTGTAGGGTTCCATGCGAGAAAGTAAGCATATCAACTTAAAACATGTTAATATAATAAATGTAATTTTTAATATAGGGCATATTCAATTTGTCTGCACATTCTCAAAGCGCATTCCTGAACCTGAACATAGGTGAGATGATATCACAGAAAAAATCAAACCAAATTTCCTTTGAATATATGTTTCATAATGTTGTCCTATATTGAAGAGAGCATAAAATATTTTTCAGAAACTTGGCATAAATCAAGGTATACTATAGGCACTTATCTTATCTTAAGGTCTGCTAAATGGAATTTTAATTAAATAGACATCACTATTTGATTCGGTTTTTCCAGATTCAAAAAAAAAAGATTTCCAATTCCTTCCGATTCCAAGAAACATTGACATGGAGTATACAAAGCTCCTTAACATTCATATAATCTTAATATCAAAGCAAAGTCTGAAACTGAAAAATAAAGTAAAAAAAAAATGAAACAGTTTCTAAAGCGACACAACCAGCTCACCCCTAAAAGCAATATTTTAAGAAATAATAGTATCTTTATGATGCCATTTATGCACCACAAACATGGGTTGTACATAATCAACAACTTGTAATATTATTAAAAATCACTACTTTCCGAAATCATTGCCTATGGGAAAATACGCCGAAGGAAGCATAAACTTTATATATATCTGATGAGAAATAAATTGGCCTGATATGAATAAAAGGGTTTCGCCTATTTTGCCTGTGGAACTATCTATATTTAAATCAGGTGACATTTGGTTGGAGCTGGATCCAGAGCTAAGCTTACCATAATAGATGATGGGGCTACCAAAAATTTCAGTGGCTCCTAATCATCTAATTATTTCAAGTATACAAATAATTTTCCAATTTATTTTCTCACATTAATTTAGTTCCTAGTTGTATGTCTAAAACATTAATATTTTATTTTCAAATATGGGCTGATGTTATATGGTAGTGGTCATATCGAAAAAACGATGGCTATGAAAGCGGAGCTGAAGCCCCGCTCTGAGGTAATAAATGAAGCCCCAGGGCCAAGGCTCGAAGTGATTTCTAACCAGCTAGGAAAATGAACTAATAATTGCTTGGTTTGCCAGTGGCCTATCACATCTTGAAATAAAACCATGTTCACGATAGGCATATTGTGAAATCAGACGTTTGTAAGACTATCAGAATAGGATGAAAATAAATAGCTAAAGTTAAAAAATGAAACGATAACGAAAAAATTTGAAAAAGAATCATTTCAGCTTTTATGGACTAAATTCTAAGAAAGAGTAAAGACTTTGTAGATATACATATCTGATAGATATTGCTTTTCACATCACGACAAACTGAATTAAATCCAAGTTTTGCTCGACATTTGAAACAAACATTACATTTGGGGCAGGAATAGAATGGTGAATGCATCAGATTTTTGAATGAAATAAACACCCTTTCAACACTTTTTCAATTTTCTTTGTTAGCACATATGATCAGATTCAGAATGATCAGCAAGTAGAACGCATACAAAATAACGATATTAGCAACATTAATTCAACTATTTGCTTTGTGTTGCTAAGTATTTATTAGAACCATGATGAAAGGACAGTGAAGTTTAGGCCATCAGAAATGTACCAGCAATATTGTTTCTAATTGTAGACGTGCCAAATCATCTTTATCGAATGATTAGATTCAATTATTAATTAATTTTTTATATGGCCTGGTATATGAAACTGAAAAGACAAGAACTGCAGACCTTCGAGTAAACTGCCACAAATAACGAAACACAGTGAAGAAAGCATTTCTTTTTTAGGGAGCTGTATTATCTCTAATTAGTTCATATCATCATAAGTTTATGAGTTAAACAAACGATGGAAAGACAAGATCATTCTACTTTCCGTTAAGATATTAAGCGAATTAAAAAATTAGAACAGCGGTTCTCAAACGGTGGGGCGCGCCCCACAAGGAGAGCATAGACAATTTTTTGCGAGGCGTGAAGCTAATTAAAAAATGAAATCTTGGTTAGATTTGATCTTGCCCACCTTGTTGTGGATATTCAAATTTCTTTATTGTTTGGAAATTGCGATTCCATCCATATATTTTCAACATGTTTTTTAAATAAAACATACTTTCATCTACGGCAACTATTTGTAGCTTATTGTTAGCTAGTTATTTTTGGGGATTACAAATTCTTAAAGGCTTAATTAGTTTGAGAACCACTGAATTAGAATATTAAGAAATTTGAGTTTCTGATATGAAACGAAACACAAATTTTCAGTACTTTACTATATGACAGCTCCATATTTAAATTTAGAAGAGACTCAGTTTTCATGTGGTTCAACGTCAAATTGCTTGCTTTCCACAAGAAAATGACAAATGCATGCTTGATACAAAAGTAAAACAATGACATCTTTACTTCAAAAATGATATAGTCTGGGCAAAAATCACAGGCCATCGATAAGATTGAAGGCACCCAAGTTACCAATAAATCACAGTACAAAAAAAATAGGTCACTTTCGGATCGCTACAAATGGATAAGAGAGATTGCACTTGCAGCAACTCAAAATTGATAAATGTCGATATCTCACAGTGCGCCAAAGACGACAAGCCAGAGAAAAGTGTTTGGAGAATTTTTGAGATAAAAGAAAACACCTATAAAATCAATTTATCTGAAATATTTACTACCTTAAATATAGAAATTTGAATTCATAGTCTGAACTTAAGATTACGCATCAAATTCTGATTTTTATGATGCATGAGTCTTTGAGCTCACTCGAGATACAGAATAAAAAATCCTGGCCTGAGGAAAATTATAATTTAAATTGATGAGAAAGAGTTCCGGTCTGAAAAACAATATTCCGTAATCATGGTTGCAACTAGCGATAATAGCATTTGCAAATAAAATAAAAATTATGAAATTATCAGAAACAGAAATAGAAAATTATGGGCCCTTCAAGTATGAATCCATTTTTTCCCAAACCATAATTCGAGTAAACATTGTCATTGGTCATAATTAAAAGATAATTAGTAAAGTGAAGGTCACTTTTAGATGCACATTATAATCATTAAACAAGAATTGTGTCACTATAAATTCACAAAAAGATTTTACAATTAAATAAATACGAACGTGCCAAAATAGTCGATAACACAACACTTGCGTACCTCGAAGCGGACATACTTTGGAAAAAAGTAATCATGAAAACAGTGTTTTGTTCTAATTCATACATATTCTGATTCAAGCAGCAATAAGAAAATTTGCAAATTATTGAAAAAAAAATCATCAAAATGACAAAAATCGATGGAAAAAAACAAACAAACACAACCAAACCCTGAAATATCCAGAACTCAAATCATAATCTTATTTTTTTTTATAGAATCACACACATTGGGAATCTTTTGACAGCATTAAGTGGATCTCTCCTCGAAAACACACAAAATTATAATAAATAAATAAAAATTAAGCAAAACATATTAAAATAAAAACAAAGAATAAGAAGTAATGGCTCACAGCCTTTCGTAATCAAAGTTGATACTGTACAAATTTAGCATTGATAATAACATCAATGTTGATGGAGATACTATCAAAGTTATAATTGGAAATATTTCTTTTTCAATCCAAGCGGCATCTATTCAAAACCATGAAAATTTTAGTCAAAGTGTGTTTTTAACTTTCAATCTCTAATTAAGTAATACAAGCATAGCACAATTACACGCCAAAATGTTTCAACTGTATTTCATAATTCGAATGTGTATTAATCAGTAAATCTACTCATATAATAACAGGCTGTGGTAAAATACCGGTAATGGCATAATCTTTTTTGGCACACATAGTATTGTGGGAACATTGTGAATGAAAATGGTATCACGTCACACAAGAGAACCTTTTATAAACAACTTTGCAAAGATTTATAGGTGATTTAAAAGTACCGTGAGCGTGCTTTTTGAAATTGCAAACATATAGTTATGTTTCGTTATTTCGCTTTTTTTTTTTTTAGAATATTCCTCTTTCGCCGTAGTCTAAGCATTGGCGGGACTTTCAAGCAGAGCATATTAAAAACACAACTTATGTATGGACTGTGACTGGCAAAAGGTATTTTTTTACTGTGACAAGCATGGATGAAAAAAAATTGGAAGCGTGCTTAAATTATAAAATTTGCTGAAAAAATAAAACATCATTATTGTTGATAATAATGACAGAAGCAAAACACATATATTCATACTTTTTCTCATTTTTTTAAGTTTTTAGAAAGGAAAAGAAATAAAAACAAAAAAGTCAAATAAAAAGAAAGAGAACAGAGCGACGCAAAACAGCACAAACAATATTATTTTTTTGTCAAATCAGCGCAAAAAGTCACATGCCGTTGAAGCACCGCGACATATTTCCCTCCAAATAAGCAACGATTTGTATAGGTTATGTCTACTCATGAGACGTGGTGGTTTTACAAAACTTGGTATATTCGCTAATCCAAAGACCAAAACCAATTTGATTCTCGCAAAATATTACATTTCTTTATGGTAAAATCGTATTGCAGAAACTGTAATGTTTAAAGTAGTCCTTTCTGTGCCTGCTGCAGAAATCACAAAATAGTGTATTATCATAGGAGTGTAGACAATACCAAATTGGTGATTCATTAATATTAGAAGCACATTGGACGTAAGATGACGGCATTTTGAATGCCTATATGACTAAACCCCATCAAGGCACTGCCATCATTCAATCAACAATGCAAAAATTCTGTAAAATTAACAGTGTTTGCTCAATCGATGTATTTTTAGTTGAGCGACATGGATTGTCAGTTAAAGATCTTAAAAGTGAGCAATAATAATAGTAATATCAAGAACATAACAAACATACAGAGGAACAGATATTTTTGAGAAATTAACTGAATTTTGCTTTTCAAAAAAACGAGGACAAAACAGAACTTAATGTGGGATTAGGTGATGGGGACTTTCTCATTGAATAGTATACTCATTTTGCAGTTGGGTATGGTTCATCCATGATCCAAATTTAGAACAGGTATAAAAACTAGGGTGCATTTTATTGAAATAAAACAAAATTTTATTGAAATAAAATGCATCAAAGATAAAGTATTACTTACATTTCGAATGCCGGTACAATTGTGGATGTGTTAGTCTTACATTTCAAACTCTAACTGAATTTTACCTTACGATGAGGTAATTCGCAATTACATAGAAAAATGAAATTGTCCACATAAGTTGAAAAGCAATTACAGATATACCATATCGATTTATGTTTAAAAAAATGTTTGAATCTCATTGGTTGAGCATGGCTTTTTGACACAGACATGTTACTAAATAGTCAATTGCTTGGGGCTTCATAAGAGACAAGTTTCTATCCAATCAAAATGCAAGAGTTTTTATTATGAATCCGCTTTACCAAAACAAGGCAATTTCCAGGAGAAAAATAACTAAGAATTGAAATAGGTCAGGCATGTTGGTCTTATGTGGTATTATGGATGTAAAAACGATAACATTTCATTGCCAATTATAAAATGCTTGTTTTTCCTCAACAACAGTGCTTACGTTTTCTCTAAAAAGAGAGGGAATTACCGATATACTCAGGAGAATGGTATAGGCACACTTATGGTGTCAATTGATAGTCTATAGCAGTTGTCAATTGTATTTGAAATCTTATATAGAACCTTCCATGAAAGAACAAAAGGATAGAATAGATTCATGAAAACGTTTGACTGCCACAGTGAACATTAGAACACTCTCTTCCGATTTCATACACTTGTTGACAATAGAGGAATTGCATTGATGTTTTTCTCTTTTTTGCATGATGAGATAGATATATTTTGTCCAACTAAATCATTACAGATTCTTAACTCATGTCATTCTTTAATACCATTACTTTATCGTTTTCGTTGAGGAACGTCACCGTTACTAACCACTGATCGTTCGCTACCGGCGGAATTGTACCTGTCCCGACCATTGTAGCCATACCTTGACCCGCCCCGACCGTATCCACCCCCTCTACCTCGGCCCTTACCTCTCATACCCTGGTTACGTGGGTAAAAACCACCGCCGCGATTGCCGTTACGCTGGTACCCACCATTTCTAGAATCATAGCCATTTTGATGAGAATGGTCTGATGAATTTCTATCAGATCGATGACTACGTTTAGTATGTGTCGCACTCTCCCACGGTTTATCGTCTTCATTGTCATTATCTTCAGTTGGACTAGTTGATTTTTCCTCATGTTGTTTATTGCTATCGTCGATCTGTGACCCCTGAACTTTCTCAACAGCTCGATGAGGGGCAGGAGTAGTGGGGGTTGTATTAGATTTTTCTTCTGCTGAATCAGTTTGTTTTGCATCTATATGATTTTCGTTTTCGTCTTGAACGATTGGTGGATTACGTTTAGCCGATTTTTTTTGCAACATCTCCGCATACGATAATTTCTTACCTACATCGAAATAGTAAATATAACATTATTATAGATACTCATTCACGCATTGGGCACTTCCACTGATATCTAACGATATGTCATTGTCAAACAATATTTTTGAATGGAACAGAATCTTCCCGGTTATACATTGCCCGTCCAATTTATCACACCCCAAGTGAGGTGGTGGGTATTGGATTTGAAAACGAGATATATCATGTGAAGTTAATTGTCACAGTGGAGTTTAAAGCTCTAAACCAGGGGTCTCCCAACTCAAAACATGTCGCAGGCCACTTTTTGAAATTTATTGACCACGCGGGTCGCAAACCAAGAAATTAGGTACAAAAATGGATATCTGAATGTATTGTGTTGAAATTACACTTGAATCTTACAGCAAACGAGACATGAAACATATTCATTCACTTGTGCTGGTTATTTGGTATCGATGTTTGGCCTTATTTTGCGTTGGTGTGCTAGTCTTAAGACAACATGCAGATGTCGTCCGTTAGTCGTGTGCGGAGGGCGGACTTGCAACATTTCATAGTCGAAAAAAATGCTCGCAAATATAAGAACTGCCAATATCGTAGGTATGCAAAGTGAATGTGTAATTAGCTTTGCAAACCTTTCTTTGGGCACAATGGACTGACCGAAACTCGTTTATTTCGTCACAATGAACATGCGAAATGAAATTATCGCATTTAAAATTGCATTATAACAATATAATAAAACATGAACGTGGACAACAGGGGGAAATTTTGCTTCACTTTTTACAGTTTGTAGGACCGGACTCTTGATGATAAACGACACGATAAAACCTACTAAAAGTTGACATCGTGCTAATTTAGTTTTTTGTGAAAAAATCCCAACCATGACGCGGGCCGGAAAAAATTGGCTGGCCGGCCGCGTGTTGGAGACCCCTGCTCTAAACAGAGGGTGTGTAACATTTTTTTTTGTCGATGGGCATTATAACCAACTTTAGACAACTAGCTGGGCTGCACAAAAAATTCAGCGGAAAAGACAAGAGAAGAAAATACGGCTATCGCTTAGCCTTCAGGAATAAATCCACCGGGCAAAACAATTAAAGATTTAACGCAGCGACAAGAGTAAAAAACATGTATTTTTATCCATGTGAGCGCCTTTTCAAACATAAACTGTCAGATTAGGATCTTACGCTTGCTTGATGGGAAAAAGTGAGAGTGTAGACAAGGGACACACCAAATGGCTTGACAGGCCGGCTTGTGGCTCGCAGGCCGCCTGTTGCATACAATTAAATCATAAATGGATTTTTCATGTGGATTAATCAAAGCATAATAAGCTCTCTTGCTAAAGATGAAATTGTTAAAGATAGAAAGAATCCATTTAATACCATTTAATGTAAGTTATGTAACCCTCTGAAACACCACAAGTCGAGACATCACAAGTTCACAACGCAGCTAAAAATTATAGTACGGTCATGAAACTCGACAATAAAATTGTAAATTACAAACCTGGTTCGGCAGTAATAGGCACAGTGTTCTTCTCACTAGTATTAAATTTTTGTGGCTCGGATTTACCCTGAAATATTAAAGTATTATTATATATGGAATCAATGAGGAGTAATGTTGCAACAATACGACAGGATATATTCTTTAATAATGGCTCACATTAGTCAAGAAAAAACAGATTGTGTTTAAAATATCACTTAAACCAAAAATGTTAGCCCTTCATATTAAATCGGCGTAATTTTCAAATAATTCCAAAGTATATGATTTCATAAAAGTCAGCTCGAGTCTTATCTTATTTTCACACCTTAGATTCTGCCGTTGATTTATTATTGTGCGATTTCCCGTGGTGTCTGTGATTTGATTTTGTTGATTTTTCGTGACCAGTGTTCTGTTGATTGTCACCAGTATGAGTTTGATGTCTTGCAGCCTCATTTTGTTTTTGTGATTTAGCAGGTGATTTCCCATGATGTTGAGAATGGTGATGATGATGGTGGTGGTGGTGCTGCTGAGGCGTCGGTGCGGTTGTTGCCGTTGTTGTTGTGTTAGGAAAGTTGTCTTGGTCATTCACCTTCTTTGATATTTGTTCTGAATGCATTGATGAGACATAAACATGAGAAGATCATAGTTAAGCCACACAGAGATGACCAAAACCGAATATTAATTTACTCTTTGCGAATATGAAATATATTTTGAATTAGATTGTGTTCAACAAGAACATATAAGAGTAATGTATACGCAATGAGTTCAAATTTGGAAAACCATGAAAGTGAAAATAAACAGTGATTTGAACAGAAAGTTAATTTTTTAGAGACCACACTAGTCATGAAAAACACCATCGGAGAGCTAATATTTATTTGCACTGCCACATAAATGTGTATGCTCTGTCTTTTGAAAGCTTTTCAGATGACAGAAAGGCCATATTAAAAAAACAGCGCTTCAGAAGTGTGTGTTTCAATATGGAGGTAACTAATTTTGTTCGCCTACTTACATCAAGTTGTGTAAAGGAACCAAAGCCTAAGCCTATGACCTAAAGAACTAAAATTCGGAAAATCGGAATAAAATTATGGCCTAACCCTAACCTGGTACACGTAACACTTCCGAAAGATCGCTCATTTTGTTTGGCTGGATTATGACCCTGAAATTTCCCAAAAACACTCATATTTTTATAGACTTGAGTGGACCAACGCAGTAGTTAAAAATGGGCACGCTGATTATCACAAAATTCCGAGAATGAATCACAGAATCACACCACTATGTCATCCGTGTGGGCCAAGTAGAGATAAATGTACTCACTCTACTCACAGCCACTTTATATATATCTCAAACATCTCAATATGCTGTTAAATGTTTAAATGCTGGAAGGATCCACTGTCTAGCTAAGGGTTTCCCAACTGGCGAGAATTTTTCCTTTGTATTTGTATACATATTACCAATATTTAGTACTTACTTAGAAAAACTCAGAGGTTTCTTAATATTCGATAGCCTGTCTAACAAATTTTCTTTCCGCTAGATGAGTATAAATAAAATGTTGAGCTGAATTTTATTTCCACGAACCTTTTGCGGCAGATTGCATAGTTTCTTCCTTTGCAACTGGATGAGATCGACTGACGATAGCCGATGTCGTAGTTGATATTGATGACGACAACGAAGTTGGTTGTTGCACAGTAGTAGTTGTTATCGTTGTAGTCGTCGTCATCGAAGGCGGTGAAACACATTGTGGAACTTTATCGAGATTCATTTTTAATGTTTTCTTATATGATTCCTGTGGAATGAAGATCGAAATCCGTTTGTAAAAATTGCTTATTCGTAAGAAACATCATATGATATATAGTCCAAAATATCAACATTAGGAGGCGTTATCGAATTGAAAACATCAGATAGGCAGTTATACATACCAAAAATAATGAAACGAGAGGGTTTATGACAAAAACAAATAAACACCTGCCACAAAATACCAAGTATCACGGTAATTGGGTCTAGTTCCAAAGAGTAGTTTGATATGAAGAACTTGAAAATCAATAAAGCTAAACAACTGAACATGCTTAGAAATTATCTATAAGATGTTTAATGAGCTATACTTTCATCCAGTCATTTTTGTACATGTTTAATAAACATATGATGGAAGGGCGACAATGTTTCTATTATTAAAAAACGTATCCAATTTCTAAGTAGCGTGATGGGTTTGAGTCAAACAATGGCTGAGTGACAGTGACTAATGTGGTAATGCTGAAATAGGTAGTTCAAATATATTAAAAGTCACAGACAGGCACGCAAATTTTTCTTATCCTGAAACATTGATGATTACCAGTATGCAGTACAGCTGATAATCAATTTCATCAATCCAGGAAGTTTTGATTTCATGCCAAATATTTTCTAGGAATACAGGTTATATAACTGTTTCTAAATTCTACCATATATATTGCCGCACAACTTCGTGAGGAAATATAAAACAATACTTACTGGCACTTGAGGTTTTTTCACAACAGAATCTGCTGCAGTTGCAATAGGATTGGTATCCACCTGTTGGAGAAAAGAAAAAAGGATTGTCATTTGTCAATTGTCATGAAACATTTTTTGAAAAATTCCTTTAGTAAGAAATGAAATAAATAAAAACGGAGTGCAGGAGGTCAGCGACAACTTGAAATATTCAGTCCTTACAACTACAACTACAACTTCTGATTTCTGGCCAATTTCAATTATACTAAATAGATTTATTTACCAGAAAATCATTACCTGTATTCCTATTATGGATCATTCTTGATTAGTATTAATTTTTGAAATAATATTCATTTAAACCAGGGGTGGCCAACCTATGGCGCATGCGCCAAACGTGGCGCATTGCATGATTAGAGGTGGCGCATTGCATCTTTAACCCTTTTCATGCCAAAATTGTTAATTGCACTTGGCTTCTCCACGCCCTTGGCTTCTCCACGCCAAGCCGTTTTTTTGCGATTTACATGGTGACTTTTGGTTGTACCTAAAATCTATTCTCCTTACTCCACGTTGCCCACTTACGGCTTGTTGGAATTAGAAACAACAGGCGATTATCGACGTTAGCTTTTGGACGGACTTATTGACATTCATTCTAGGCTTTTAGCAAAAGTTAGTAAAATTCACTATTTTTTCCCTACTGAAGTAAAAAGTTCAGAACTTCTGGAAAAATAGAAAATCGTCATTTATCAGCTTGAAACATGGATTTTCCATTGCCCAGACTTCCCAAATATCCCCAATAACCATTGAACAACCAGTTGAATTGCCCAAGCCTAAAAAATTTATTATAAATCAACCCACAACTTGCTGAAGATGACCCCTAAATACCACCTTTTTCATCCAAACTTCAAATGATCGTTCTCAAAAAAAGCGAAGCGTAAAATCGCTTGCTGTGACGCAAGTACTAATCTCGAAGAAGCCTGGAGTAAAATCACGCGACGCTAGGCCAAACAGCGAAAGTAAAACAGCAGCAAAAGTCTCATAAAGGCGGTACTTAATAAAATTGATCAGTTTTATTTATTATACTTCCTTGCTTAATTTCTATTCATGTGAAGTTGTAAATTGTAAAAACTACATATACGTGTGTATATATGTGTGTGTATTATAAATTTATATAATTTCAACATTAGGCGTGGGAATACAAAAGATTTACGGCGCATCTGAAACATTATGTTTAAAACGTGGCGCATGGTATGTGTAAGGTTGGCCACCCTGATTTAAACTAAATTCTTATGATATCGATAACCGGCAACAGAAATAATAATATTTATGAATAAATTCACAGCAATAGAATGAAAATTTATCAAAATGCAGAAAGCATATTGTGAAGTATTGTTGATGGAATGACTTTAGCGGCTTCAATTCTCACACCAAGTTCATTTAATGCACCACGACAAATTTATATAATTTCAGTAAATCTTGGCATTTCAGTAGGTACTTTTAACTTTGCCCAGAGATGTTCCCTGTGCTTCTGAGGGAATGGTAATGATCTTGCTTTGACCAAACTCTCCAAGACAACTAACTATTCGTGATGGAATATTTACAAAATTGAAATATCATATTGCATCAAAACTAAAAATATGATGTCATTATAATCGAACTTAAACATGTTGAGAATAGAAGGAACTCTATTGTTATTCTCAAATATAATTCAAGAATTTTATATTACTCACATTTGATGCGGGACCAGGTAAAGGTGGAAACGAAGTACTTTCAAGGTTGAAAGATTGTTCCGGTAAAACCGGACCGTTCATGGGTTCTGGTGGAGAAACTTTCCCAGGCTGTGAAAAAAAACATAATAGGTTTCAATTAAATAGTTATAGGAAAAATGATAAACTGAAAGGGCTTGAAAATCAAGCGAATTGGTTTAAAAAATTGCATATTAACTCTTTGATTTGGGTAAGGTTTTTCAATACCTCAAAAGTTAAGCATAAAGATTGATGTGAACTTCTGGTAACTGTATAATATCAGTGAAACACGAAGCTTTAGGTCAAACTTTAAAGTACTTCACTTTCTTTCATATTTGACTTTTGGCAAAATTATTTTCTGTATCCAAACAACAGTTTATGATGCAATACCACAAAGAATGTATGCATCTATATTCTTGCAATGACCTAAATATGTAGAGAAAAGGATTCCATTTTCAGTCGAAATCTTTTGGCTAAGCTCTGGTTTAAGGATTTTAAATTAATATACTTACAATGCCATACGATTCACCATTTCTTCTTGGTTTACGTTGACGTCCACCTCTGGAGCTAAAACATAGTAACATGCAATAAAATATTTATAACACATGATTGGTTTAGAATGATTCAGGCATTGTGGATTGTATGGAAGGTAAAAATATTAAATCTCTACACATAGCTGCAAGACATTTAAAAAAAAACATGACGGATACATACTTGATATCGTTGTATACTCCGCTAGGCACAGTGTCGTTATTGAAATTCTGCCGCTTTGCAGAATTGTTGTTTATATCACTGACGTTATAAGCACCACTAGACCCCTCCATTGAGTCTGTAAATAAAGTAAAAAAAAAATAATATTTTAACATACTGAACATGGATAAGTCGGCAAGTCATTCGAATAATTAGGTTTGAATAAAATCCATTATGAAATGCAGCAAATAAGCTATTCTATGTAGTAAAAGTTAGATTCAGTGCAATTGCAAAGAGCAAATTATAAAGATAACCGCAATCCATCACTCACTACAATCAAAACAGGTATATTATATAAAGCATTTTTCTGCATCATGCATACCAATTTTTCGAGCTTATTAAAACACTTTTTAGACCAAAAGACTCCTGAAAACCAACGTTTTATGGCCAGACCCATTAGCTGTTAGGGTCTAACCTGGCAACTAGAAATTCCAGAACCCCCCTATTGAATATTCCTGACTACGCCCTGGATCAGTCGGTCACCTGTAACTGATGACATCACTGATCATGCTAATGTTTTCAGGAAAACACTAGTTGCCAGAAATACAAATAAAACTACAAATATCAAAACTTTAAAAATTCATTCAAAGTATGATCCAACATTAACTGTACTAACAAATCTTCATTGGATTAACGAGAAAATTGGGCATGGTTATGAAAATAAACGATAAATTGGAGAATTCCTTAAATATGAAAAACAACAATACCTTGGTGTTTTCCACCATATCCTCCTTGTCTTGGACCATATCTTGACCCATTCATTGAATTTCCATCATGTCCAGTGCTGTTGTTTCTTGCCAAGAAAGGAGGCGGCTTAAAAAATATTACTAGTCATTAAAATGTAATAGCCATAATAGTAATACTACTCTTTATATTAACAAGCTTAGATTTAGTGTGTCTGAGTGTGATGTTTTATTAAATGTTTGTTTAGAACAAGGCTTCAAGAAATTGATCAGAAGACGAAAAAATGCTTGCAAAAATGAGGTTGCAAGAAGTCTTATTAAAAGATTTGTTGAAGCCGTAATCAGAAATAAACTTAGAAAAAAAAATTTTGCAAAGGGATTGTCCATAAGTCCATAATTCTAATCAATTATACCGAAGGAATATATTTTTTGATGAAAAGTTTAAATATCAATAGAAAAAGCAAAAAGGTGAAGATGAGAAAGTGACTTACATAAGCTTCAAGACTCAAATTCCCATGAGGTCCATTTTGATATAATAATCCATTTTCAGAGTTGTGTCTTGTGTAATCCTGTGATTGATTGTTAGCATTGCTACGTGACGTGCTGTACCGTTGATGTTGGTGAGATGGTTGCATACCTGAATATCATCACTGTTTTGTGAACTTGAATTGACTGTTATTCTACAGTGTGCCATATTTTCGAAATTCAGGCCTTGGCCACTAATATAATGAAATTTATAATTTTTATAATTTTGCCTGGGAATAATTTTGCCTGGGAATGACTTTTAGCTGCAAAGAGTTCAGCAACTATGGATTTTATTCTTAAAATAGCAAAATGGCATACTCTCGACTATAGGCTCTCAAGGTCTGGTTTCATGGTAGTTGATATATTATATTTTAGTTCCAATTTGCAGAATTTCGCTATGGTTTTTCCAATTTTAGAATTAATTAAATTACTAATTTAGAATGTTTACATCTTTCGGGGGTGGGTCAAAATTAAAAACGAAAAAATAGAAGTTAATTGAACTATTCTCGTTAACAATATCAATGCTTATTAAGAAAGATACTTTAAATGTTCAAACCCAATAAAACAACTTTTTGAAACAAAAACTTGGAAAGAAATTAACACCAATCTAATAAGATTAATTCGATATTATACAAAATATCATCAATAAAATTTGAACATAAAATATAGAAATAGGTTACAAACCTTTCTTTTGAAACCTTGGACTGACATCATTGTCATGTTGTGAATGATACGAATTATTATAAGAGTTACGATTAAATCTTCCTCCGTTATTTGCCATCGACATATTCCCACCCTGAATGAAATATGAAGAGTTAGCTGGATTGTTCGACAGTAGGAGGATTTACATATTTATCCTCAGGGAGAGGAAAGAGGATAAGACGGACTAATCATATGGCGAACATGTCCTCTCATCCAGTCCTCAGTCTATGTCGGGTATGGGATTAGTGAGCAAGTTATTTGTTTCAGATTCAGGGTCGTAATGGTGGAGAAAGCCATGAATGACCAGCGGTTATGTGCACCACTCTACAGCGGCGCAGAGTCAGCAACCCTTTCACACATGATTATCACCCACAGGTGCATCCTCATAGCTGCAATAATGAGCCTATTCCTAAAGCTTAGCACGATGCGTCAAACCTCCGAGCTTATAATAATATACGTTGCAGTGACGATTCGAGTAAGATTTGAAATTGTGAAATTGAAAAATGTTAAATATATCACATATTTACAAGCAAAATAACTTGAATAGCTTTAATTTCACTGCACGGATACGAGAAAAACTGAGAAGAAATTTAATCAAGAACACAAAAGCAAAGTTTCAATATTCATGTATAAGTTTTCCTATAAATTGAAATAAAACACCAAATTGTGGGTAACGGCCCCCGAGAACTCAACGAGAATTTGAAAAAAAAGTGATAGCCTATCCTAGACTAGATGCTTGAACCATCTCAAATTACTGAAAATTTGGAATTGTTTGATCGATGTGAAGTGTAGTAAAGCCATTTCAACAATACCAGACGGATACCTAACAAGTTCAAAACCTCGTGGAACCCTTCCACATCTAAATATCGAAACCATTTCAGCTACAAAATAGAAACTCTACCTGTTTTCCATTTGGTTTATTCATCGGTGGTGGATTTTTCCCATAATATTGACCTTGTATTACAGGTGGTGATTGATACATATTCTGTTGTCCGTTCATCTGCATTTTTATTGGCATTTGTGCATGAGGCACAGCTGGAAGATAATGTGGACGAGAGTCTGGTGTTGAGGGATTCACTAGGAAAGGAGAAATTAACAATCAAATAGGTTAATTCTACCAGGAATAGATATAATACATATTACCATTAAATTGAATATGCTTTTTGTACTAGAAAAATAGGCTGATGAAAATTTTTTGTGCAAATCTTCATTTGAATTCATTCAATAGTAGACTATTTCAAAGTAAGCTAAAATCGACTTTTTTTTCAAATACATTTAAAAAAAAAATCCAAAACAAGGTACCGGTATGTTAGATATATTCTAAATAGGGTCATGTTCAACAATGAACATTAATAAGCCATGTATAATCAATGAGTTCGAGCTTGAAAATGACGAAAATTCAGATAAACAGCTATTTGATTGGTAATGGTTGTCCACACTCTTGAGGGTTTCAAAACTCAGAGGCATTTTTGATGATGCAATAAGACTTTAAATAATAATTTTTCGAACGAGACTTGTCCAAATGATTCCTGAATTGAGCAATTTCAAACATCAAATAGTGATGAAAAGTGTCACAAAGTTATGAACCAAAATCAATTTAATTATAACCCGCGCGATAAGAGTCATACATGACTCAAATCAATACTAATTTACTCATCATAGACAATTTGAAAATTGCATGATAATTCAAAACTGAAAAGCATAATAGCGTAATATAAGAAACTTTAACAAGGTTGGCCAGGATCTAATTATGTCCATTTAGATATTTTAAAAATGAAATTTCAAACCAGGAAAATATTTCAAATTGAGTCATTTTATAACGAGATATTTGTCCAGCTCAATATATATTTATAGAAATTCGATGTGATAATTAAGTTGAACGCATATTTTAGGTTCATCTGTAAACTGTGAGGATGATAAATTTCTAGATCACTTGCAAATTATTGAGCATATCAATTCAAATACCATTAATTTTTAACATAATTAAATATTCAACTCATTTTGGACATCCTGCATAAGATACCGACTTAATGAAACAAAAAAAACACAATTTGGTTTATCATTTATACAAGAGGGTTCCATTACATTTGAACCCACGTACATTTGAACCCATGACAATTGCACCTGTATGCCATTGCACCTATGGATATTTTTTGTTCCACGGATAGTTAAACCCATACTAACCCTAACCCATGGGTTTTAGCACCCGCATATAGATTGAACCGGTGGATATACGCATGGGTTCAAAAGTACGTGGGTTCAAATGTACGGTCACCATACAAGAGTTGTGCAAACTGCAGCCTGCAGGCCAAATGCAACCCGCAAAAAAAATTGTGTAGCCTGTGGAGAAGTGCCAATTTTGAATGATGTGCCAACGAAACAAGTTTTTGGTTTAGTCAATCTGGTACGTGCGAGCAATTCCACTATCTTTGCGTCGCAAAGCTTCTACCAGTGCCTGAGTGCCACTGAATAACAGTTTACCTTAGAAATTCATGTGTTTTAAGTTAAAACACATGAATTTCTTTTAACTCACCATTTCTGCAAGGACCCCTAACAATGCCTTAAGATCAATAACAAAAATAAACAATTTTTTTGTGCCTGCAACTAACTAGAAAGGCTATCTTAAATTGAGGCGCGGCCCGTGGTTTCACCCAGCTACTTGTGTATGGCCCTCTCGTGATAAATAGGCAAAATTTACCAATGATATCAAATTATTTGAGCAATGCTGCAGATACCCCGTATCAGCTTATTGACTCACATGATTGAAACACTTTCAATTTGAACAACATACAAACCTGTAAGCAAACAGTATGTACCGGAACAAAATGGTTGACATTTTGCATTTAAATCATTCGGAGGGCAATTTCAAGCGTCACAAAGATAATTTGATGGAACTTTATCTAAAACTCTATGAGTACACCGGCAAATAAAAATAAACTAAATTGACGATAAATATAAAAATTAGGTATTAACTTGGTTGGAGTTGCATAATTTGATTGTCCTGTTGCATGTTTCTTCCTCCATGCATCTCGCCACTTATATAATTATTGTTCATATATCCTTTTCCATTGTACATCGCATTCCTATTATTAACAATAAGAAAAATCAGTAATTAATATTGTTTCTACCAAGGTAATTCACAGACTCAAGAGTAGTAGATCGAAAACAAGTTTTTTTATACAATGTTTCCACACCTTAACACCGGACAAGGTTCTTTGTGTGTATCCACTGACACGTAGGTAGCAAGTATTTTCAGTAGGACTGGATTCTTGGCACAAGGCACACACACGTTGGCATGAGTAATGAGATAAAAATAATTATTATAACTTCAAACAAGGAATGACTATCAATGAATAACTAATTCATCTGTTTGATCTCATCTCTTGGTAAAGATAATTTGCCAATCCTGGAGAAATCTTGATGGAACTAAACCTTCGACACCAAGTATTCACATGGTCTGAAACTGCCTCAAATAAAGATATAAAACTTAACATACCTTTTGCCTGGTCCTCCCATAAAATTAGGGGCAACAGGTTGTTGTGGAACAGGATGATAAACTGCATTTCCAAAAGCCTGATTTGCAAATGGCTGTCAAAGTTAAACACAAGGTTAATTAATATTACTTTGGTTCAAAAAGAAATTACTAAACTTGTACATATTAGAATAAAAGATAAGCGCATTATGCCTTATAATGTGCAATTTGTTTCAGACAGACGCAGGAATTCCAGAGCTTGAAGGGTATTGTTTCTTGGACGAAAATGTGTGTAAAAATATAGTATATGTCCCAATGCATCATAAAACAGGGAAACTCAAGAAGGGTAGAATTATCATATTCATCACTAATAAGATAGCTTCTAACTCCAGCCAAACACTGATTGCAATTTACAATGAAAAAGATTTGAGAGACTATTACATCATACACACATAATAAAAACCCACCATGTCAGGGGGGTGATTGAGGAACGGAGACCAGGGCTGACCACCAGGTGGCATAACATAGACCTGTGCTGGAGCAGCTGTGGTAGATACAGATGAGCTATGAGGACTGGTAGAACCAGGTGGTTGTGTTGCTATGGCAGCAATGAAAGGAGGTTGTTGGCCTCCAGCTGCTTGTGCATAAGGAGGACCAGGTTGTGGGAACACATTCATCGGTGACTGAATATAAGATGGACTCACAATCTGAAATGTAGAAAATACAATTTGATTTTGGTAAATTCAGTCAATATTGAAGTAAAAGGCCGGTATTTATTCTTCAACAGACGCTCCAGAAGTATGTGTACCAATATTGAGGTAACTAATTTTGTTCGCCCACTTTACATCAAGTTGTGTAAAGGGACTGAGAGCTATGGAAAAGGTATATATACACCTGGCTAATACAAACAGTCCCCAAACTTGTAATAGAACTAAAACAAGGAAAATCTGAATGAAATTATGACCTAACCCTAACCTGGTACTCATACTACAGGAGAACCCTTCAACATGCCGTACCTAGCCCTAACTTACAAGTTACACATAACTGTACATGCTATGCGGGAAACGTTTTTTTATTTTTCCAACAATAGCACTACTTAATATATATCATACACAAATTAAACAAAACTAAAAATTGTTTCGGCAATATTTTGTGTGAGGAATATAACTAACCAACTTGGGTCAAAATATATCAAACGATCAATATAAATAAAGCAATACATAATTTGTTTTGTATTTGGGAATATAGCAAAGAGAATGGTATTAATAGTTTTTTATTGTAGTTAGTAATCTCAGTCATAGACAGGTGGTCAATATTGAAAATGCTGTAAGAGAACCATAATATATATAATACACAAGTACTATGAATAAATAAGCATACTTCATTGAAAAACGGTCAATATAAATAACAAAGGAAGTGAACCTCAGACATGCGAACAATAAGAAGGTGCAAACGAGTTCATGACAATATTCTCTTACCTGGCCTGGCATAGTAGGTTGTTGAACTTTTTGTTGATTGATATTAGAGATTTTTGAGCTACTGTACGTGCTGAGATGATGTGTCCTTGACTTAATCCGTGCCTTTATGAAAATTATTGGAAAGGTTTATTACTTCGGATATATTTCACTAAGATGACCAAAATGAATATATACATTCACACAGGTCATATTTATTGAATATGAGTGAATATTTTTGACGTATTTCAAAACTTGTATTCCAAATACAGTGATACCTCGATAGTCACACAACTCGATACTCAAACAATTCGATAGTCTACCAAAAAATTCTAATCAAAAATGCTGGGGTACTCAAACAGGAATTCGAAACTCAAACAACGAGCACACCGTGAGACTATGTCTACCAAATCGCACATCTCAGCTGCCTCTTGATCATTCATCAAAAGAGCAATGCTCGAATATATTGACATGAAGACCAAAACAAAATTGTAGGGGTATGCAATTGGTCACGGTGGACCACCGGTATGGAAATCTCCATGAATACTGCGAAGCGGAACCGCCACAAGGTGCTCAATCTTTATTATGTATACAATTGAAGGTACTCCCAAAGTATGTGAACCAAGATGATGGCGGACACCAGAACGTAGTATCGGTACCAGGTTAGGGTTAGGCCATAATAAGTACAAATACTACGGGAGTCACTAGGCTAGTCCCCGAGCTCGTAATAGAATAAAAATAAGGAAAATTAAAATACCATTATGGCGTAACCCTAACCTGGTACAAAGACTACGTTCCGGTTTCCGCTATCTTGGTTCACATACTACGACAGTACCCAATTGAATAAGTATTGTTGTTTAGGTACACGTTTTGTTAATATTTTGGAGTGCGTAAGACGTACACATAAAATAATAAAAACTCCTAACATATTGTTTGATATCAGTGGCTGCATCCTAATACCGTTAAAATGCATATTTATCGCCATTGAAGTATGTCCAACATTTTAAAATTATTTCAATTTTTATCTTTTCTCTTTATTTGAATATTATTTATTTAAAAATTAATTCAGAACGTAAATTTACATTAACACAAAACTAGATTTTCAGGAATAAAGCTGGATTTTCATCCATACAACAGTAGTGAAATCGTACAATAAACATTGCCCTATCTATATTGGATAATAAATGAGCTGAATAAAGGAAATCAGGATATCGAGTAATCACTATTGAATTGTTTCTGTAACATTATACTACACAGATTCGAACATTTATTTCATCACAATAGGACGGTCAGTTAGAATTGAGGTTAACCAACCAAAGCTTATTTTTTTAAACTATCAAATCAATTAATTTCACAATTAAATAAAATTTATGATCTTTGTGGACTTGATGACCCGCCTTAGCATATTAGATTTGTCGCCATTGTGAGAGACAAAAACACTGATAGGTACAGCTGTACAAATTTGCCCACAAACATGTTTAAGGTGAAACAAAATTGGAAGTATAAATCAACCTCAAAAGACCACAATTATTTGGCAAAGGCAAAGCAGAGACAAGTTCAATAAAAAATTTAATTAGTAAAGTCTGAGTGAAAGGTATAAACTAAGGATGGGTAAAAGGGAGCATTTTTTTTTGATTTTAGAATATTCTGAATATCAGTTCTTGAAACAGTTGAACAGAAACTTGAAACAGAAAAAAGATATAGATTGTGTTGTGACATTTTTTGAAATGTAAGTAAAAAACAGACTGAATGATTTCCTCGAGTTAATAATTTTTCATGTCAATCAGACTCTTGTGAAAGAAATCAGTCTATTGTTAACAGAAACTGAGAAGCCCTGCTCTGTCTGTTCTCTTTTGTCTGAGTTGAAACAATACCGGTACAGTAGCAGACCAATACTCTTATAACTGGTCACAATGAGAAATGCTTTTGACAAAGTTTAAGTGATAAGAGGAATAGAGATGAATACATGGATAGAGATGGATAAATAGTCCCAATCGCTATCTGGATGGCCTTTTTTTCGCAGAAGGCTATAGGGGTGCCATATTACCATTTATATATAATCAAATGAAGAAAACCATATAATTTAGAATTCTTTTGAAAAAATTCGTTCCATTTTAAAATGGCCCAATTACAAAGCAAAAATTATATTTTATAAATACGGTAATTATTTTCTGGGACGAGGCTATATTTCATTTCTATTTACAACACAATTGAAAATCGACACATATTGTTTTATTTTGGTCATTTTGAGAATTTGCCTGCAAGGTTTTCATAAACACTTGTCATATAAAACTAGTTAGTCTAGTTAAAATATATTTATTGAATAAATTTTAAAATTCTAAATTGGATTACAAAAATGATTTGAAATCATACATCCCTGATCAGAACCATGTAAAACATTATCTTAATTTTACTTTTTTAATAAAAACAAAAAAAGAATTTCAATATCATACCATGATAGGTCTTCCTAAAAAGGTCTTCACTTTCTCTCGTAAATGTCTATAAGCATCCTGTGCATCAGATTCTGTCTCGAAAGTAACGTACCAGCTTGTATTCGCAGCAAACTCACAAGAAATGAACTTCGGACATTCTTCACCATTGAAAAGTGCTTCGACATCCTGTAATAACAGAATCAAAAATAATGTAAGTTCAACAATGAAAGCATTGTAAATGACTTACTGAATTAAGAAAGCAACTAAAACGAGTCAACACGGATTTAAATAGGCTGGAATATTTGGGTGTATCGATAAATAAGAATAATGCATAAATATCGATGCATAAAAATAATTGAAGATATGTAAAAGGTATATTAAGATTAGACCAGTGGCAATAGAAAGGGGAAAAGCTTTCTTCAGCAATTTGAATTAAATTCAGATTCATTCTGAAAGCTTGCTGGGCATATAAAAAAAATTAACTTTTCTGAACATACTTTTGAAAGTATTCTGTAATTTTATTAATAGTGAATGTATTGTCAATCTTGCTGTGTTGTGAAATATGAAAAAACAGCACCAAGTGAGATAAAATTAATGTTCAAATTTGAAATCACAAAACATCTATTAAGTTGATGGTTCAGCATTCTGAAATGCTAACATAACAACTGGTTTATCATTTAATGAGTTGATAATAAATTTGAAGCCAACAAAATAGAAGTAAATAATGTAAAGATATTTCAAAGATGACTCATTTTCAATTATTCTCAATTACTGGGATCTCTTTTTTTAATTTAAGGTCAAACCAATACACTAATATTCATTGAAAGAAAATATCGATTAATGAAAATTTTCATACATAGCGTAATACAAAAGTCATTTTGAAATCATTTAAAGAATCTAAATGTGGTTTTGAGTTTCCGATTAGATACTGTCTGACCTAGAAAATAAGATTCAATTCAACGTTCAAGGCCGCAGATAAATAATTTATTAATCGCATAATCCCAACTTATGGTGTCTGCCCCTTGCACGCAAGTAAAATAACAAAACTCTTATTACAGAAAGTTTCGTCATGATGTATCAAATAGGCAAACATTCACAATATTACTTGAACAAGTCATTTGTAAATTTGCTTTTTTAACAATGAAATTCTTATTATTTATGGCAAATATGATTTTATTAAAAAAATCATTCAGATCCATTCAAATACAAAATTAATTGAAGAGAAGGGCAATGATCAAATATATGGAAACGAAGACCAAAACCAAGTAGCCTCAAATCTTTCACAGTACTGGTAATCTGACCACCAGTTCGCTGAGATGCGATCACGAAACCACCACATGGTGGCCAATTTTTAATTTTAAAGACGTCATCACACAAAACAATAAATAGAAAACCGACAGGTGGTTTTGAATTAAATGAAAGTAATAGTGACAACAACAATCTTTAACCACTGACAATTTTGTAGCAATTGGTTCAGTAGTTATCGAGGAGAACAATTTTTTCCCCAACAACAAAAAGAAAAATACCAAAAGACAAAATGATCTATAGGTTCTCTTTTGTTCAAAAATCAAACCTAATGATGCCAAATTCTCCTTTCTACTCGGAAGAATAAGAATAAATTCAAAGACATTTTCTTAGTTCGCTTCTATAATTTACCAAATACATGATGATATAAATCAGGGGTGGCCAACACGTCGATCACGATCGACCGGTCGATCGCCACGTCTCGAGTAGTCGATCGCGATGTCAGGTAAACTTAATAACATACCCCAAAAACCAATTTCATACAGCGCTTGTTGTGTGTTTTGAAACAGGAAGAATATAGTAGGCCTACTGTACATGCGCAAAATACGATATACACATGCATTGATTGGGTATGGACAAGCCCGATGAAGCATATTATTATGTGACCCATAAAAGTTTCACTACTGCCAAGTTTTAAGAATGAACGTACTGAATATCATCTGTCATGACTGACCAACGATCCTACAACAATTTCTGCACTGTGCAAAAGTTATTGTTTTACTCCAGGAGTAGTGTGGTAAATTTTATTCGCAACGGTAGCAGTGGCATCAGAATGCCCTATTTTTTCTCTAATTCCAAGCGACCAAAGAATCAGACTTGAAGAAAATTATAAATTAGATACTGAAGTTTGAAATGTATAATTTATGGTTTGAGAATATCATTTATTCGCTTTTTATATAATACATGGGTACTTTTCAAGGTTTTTTGAGGAATTGAAAACACTTACGACTAAAAATTAGACAGCCCCTAGATTTGAATTGTATGCTTTGAATAAATCTAAAATAAATGATGAAACATTTACTCCATTACATAATCAAATTAACAAATCGAATGGGGCATAAAGATGCAAATTTTTGTGGCAATTTTATTAAGAATGCTACCGCAGAGCCGAGCTCAGCATACATTAATTTTTGTTTATGACCTTATTACCGATCAGTCGATCATGAGCTATTTTGAAGATTTTAGTCCATCACGGTCGAAAGCAGGTTGGCCACCCCTGATATAAATGATAAAATCCATCCTAGCAGTTGGTCAAAAATTCATCTGTGCAACTATAAATAGGTCCAGATGCAAATGCACAGATGCATGCAACCACACACGAGCCACAAGTTTATTACAACAACTTCTGGCCTCAGTTTTTGTACAGTTTTCGGCATGTGCTCTCCACCTGACCTGTTCGTGAGCCTATATTGTATATTCAAGTATTAATTATATATATATACTGTTATTTGTTACACTATTATCAAATTTCGGATGGCTTTCCATATAATGAACAACTTACTATTAATATTCAATGATTTTATTATAGTTGGCAATAGCAAAATAACAGCCCGATATACTAAAATTGGTGACAATTTACTACTATTGAACAATTGTTTTTATTTGGATTGCACAAATATTCGAGATTGTTTTGTAAACAATCACTAATTCCCAAAACATCATTTTAGTATCCAACAGTGGGTTCGTAGTTCAAGTCATCGAGTTCAACCAATTCATGCTCTGTATACCCTGTTTAGTTTATGGTCTATTTCAGGTTAGTTCAGAAACTGAACTATCACTAAGGGATATGATTTTCTCATACTAACAATTTGAATTATTCATAAACACATATTAAAAGCTACCAATGTCACTCGAGGGCAAGGCACTCGAATGTGAACCATTCTTGTAACTTGAAGATGATTGAATACAAAAACGAGTCACTCAGAAAGTGTTGTACTCTAGTACTACAGTAAGATAAAAAATAATAACATGAATTTCATACTTGTTTTAAAAATGAATTCACAATCCCAAATTAGGATGAAAATTTGAAAAAGATAAATTAGAAGTGGCATGCATCATTTTCAACGAAGTATATTGTTATATTTGGATGTTCACCCAAAGATTATTACACAAAAATAATTTCCCACTTTTATTATACATCTGATACGAATAAAATATTAACGACTAATAATTTAAATATGCAATCAAGTAAATGAAGTGAACGAACAGGCAATGTTGCATGAAATCAACAAAACGAGATAATACAATCAACAGTAGTGCGAGTGAAGACAACTATCAACACAAATGTATTTCTGTGACATTTCGTTTGACATAAATATTTATCTGAGGAAGTTTGACTTTGGTCATATGAAACGTCCCAAAAATATTAATTTATGTTATTGTGAAGCAATACTCATTATTAAATCAGTCTAATATTATTTTATGAATGGGAATTTGTTATATATAAAGTAAACAATATATTGATTCAGAGCTACTCATACCTCAACTGGTGTTGCTCCTGGTATTCCCTCATATGAGCGCATACTTGGTTTGATTTTGGTCTAACCTTTTCATTTTTGTCATCTACCTGGACGAGGCTTGAAGCTATTGAAAAAAAATATACAACTGTCAATTTGCACAAAAATGTTAAAAGATACACAATAACCAACAGAGAAATTAAAAATAATGATGTATCATTATTTAGCATGAGATTCGGTCTTTCAGGAAAATACAGTTGATGAGTCTTTATGACCGAATGCGGCTTTGCATCAGGCTACCTACATCTGGATAACTCAGCTCAATAGGCATGGCAAAAAATATCTGTGTATGGACCGAAGTTCCAAGAGAGAAAGAAGTACTGGTAATATTCTTTTAAAACTCTGAAATTTTCAGTTATTCCTATAATCATTAAATTATTAAAATGGTGAGAATTTCCCCGACTCATTACAAAAAATGAAAAAGTAATCCATTTTGACCATAAAAATACTTTCAATACATCAGTTATTAAATCGATGTCAGTGGTTAGATTTTTAACCAAATTAAAATTGGCAATTGTCCATATCGGCACATAATGCTGATCGTCCATTTGTGAAACAAGATACTGATCTCTGGTAAGGTTTTCGCTGTATATAAAAGTAGTTTGAATTAAAAACAGCAAGAAACACCATATAAGGAAAAGCTACCATAAATGCAATTCATTCAATGGAATTGTTTTGTAATGAATTTCGACTGCAAAGTAATTGGGTCAAAAGTTACTGTACTTTGAATCTCACGATCAACAATGAAACAATTTCTCGATATTGATATGCCAAAAAAATTCATCTAGCATTGTACCTTGAAAAATAATACTCCAGTTGCTGTTGCAAAGCAAGTTTCAACTTTTCTAAATCTTGTGGAGTCTGTGGTTCATTTACATTATTATTTCCATCTTCTTTTATACCACCAACTGATTCCATCGCAGATTCATCCGCAGACACTACATTTTCATCAACTGTTAATAAAAACGTAATAATATCAATTAAACAATCCACCAATAAAACTTTCAATATCATGAGAAAATTATGCGAGTCAACAATCACAGAAGCAGGGAATAGCACATGGTAACTACCTATAAATGTGAAACATCAATTTTGCCAAGAGCTCATTTCATCGATATAGGTATGTTTTGCTCACGAATATAAATCAGGGGCGGGCTGTCACTTTTCTGAGTGGGCCAGTTACAGGTAATAGACTTGGTTACTCGGCAGAAGGCTCAAAACTCAATATGAAAAATTATAAATAATTATTAATGGCAGATGCTGCTGACAAAGTTGTTTAGGCACATCAAGAAAATGTATTTAATATTGTTTTTGAAATATCCAACAATTTGAGATTATAACAACCTAACAATACAAAATAATCGCATAACGATACAAATGTTTAACAATGCTTTATTTTTGTAATAAATAATTTGAGCTCTTATGGTTTATGAGTATGACTAATGTAAAAGCAAGAAAACAAGTTTAAAATAAACAAAAAAACGACAGATAAAATTTCAGCGATGAAACAAACTGTTCAAGTATTATTAGAAAAATTCTGATATAGAATTGCATCATTATTAATGAATTTGAATACTAGCACATCTATTCTTACACTATAACTACTAGTGTATTGTAAACGATCATAAAATGAATTAGCAATAACCTGAAGTTACCAGTAAAAATAACTATATTGAGAGAGAGGTGAATGTCAGCAAAGTGAAGAGTTTAGTTAGGGATGGATTCCGAAAGGGTCATAAATGACAAAAGATCAGAAAATAAAAAAGTCCATTTCTGAATAATGTGACATGAGCGAATTTAGTTTTACTGCGGTGGTATGGTCCCAATCTCCTCCATAGAAAAGGGCTTATTGGTCCGTCATTAATCTTTTAATAAGTTTTATTAATCCAAAACATTTCTAAACAAAACGTCAGAATGACCACTTCTTTACTTTACAGATGAAGGATGATTATGAAATGCAAACTATTAGCTTTTTATTAAATTAAACAATACCTTGCACATCACATGTTGCCTATTGATAAGTTTGTATAAAGTGTTTACTGACATGTCACCTGATGTTTATATTTCAACCACAAATACGCGTGGTTGCATAATTACAAAAATAATACATATAATGAATTTTAAGAAACGTAATTAAAATTCAACAAAAAGATTATTTCCCGCAATAAGGTATTGGGCTATAGCCATATGAATTAATTTTGAATGCTATAGGCGTATTCAAAAATTGTTTCAAGGTTTCACAATTATGTTGGTGATGCCGGAAGAATTTTCCATAAATGACTGTTTTTTAAGATTGCAGACAACAAATTGAACATGAATTAAATTTTACTGTTCAAGTTAATTTCCTGAAATAATACCAGGATGTACATCAAATTTACAAATGCAAGATGACTAACGTTTCCACAAAATTCACCCTTTCCCAGTAAAATCATAAAAAATGTATTTACAAGTAAAACCCAGCAAATAAGAACTGAAACCAAACAACCCATCTAGAATAATTTCAAATCGAAAGAAATTTCAGAGTAAAATTCAAGAATTACAAATATTGTCGATAAACATGTTATCCTGAATTTATCGCTGTGAGTCACATAACCAGACTTGGTTATATTTAGTTTGAGATAATTCTAACTTCATCGAAATAAGAAGCAAAAAGCAATGTTTTCTTTTCTTTTTGTCGATATATGGAGAACATAATATTTTCAGCTTGATTAATTAAAGAGCCTCCTAGACATGAAGATGAATGTCAATGCCTTCAATCCCTTTATTTAAATTTGATAAATTACATATTGATTAAAGGAGATGTGAATATGTGAAGAGATTAATACCTTACTATTTAATGTTATGCAAGATATCATTCATTTAAATATCCTTGATTTGATATGAGGTGCTTTTAGCACAGTATTGAAAATATTCAGTATATGTATGAAACTACCGGTAACTATTAATTCAATATGATCATCACTCAAAAATGCAACAAAATATTAAATAGAAGTTGGGGTTCCAAAATGTAACCATGACATCCGTTTTACAAAAGTAATAGTACACATAATGCAAGTAAACAGAAAAATCACCCAATTTTTTCACCAATCAGTTAAAATATTTTACATTATTTTATAATAATTCCAATACGAGGAACACTCATGAACCAATTGAATTCCATTTATCATATTTCAACTTCTTTAGTCGAATACATATGATTTAATAGACAAGCAATAAGAACACAAAAATATTATAGGTTGTAAGTATATTTGTATACTACAAAAATGAGTCTTATAATTCCTTATAATAAACGTCAAGGGAACAAATTTTTCTCATTTTGTTCTTGTTAAAAAGATTCTGGCAATGTTGATGCGAATCAATACATGGAATATGATACAGTGTTCTATAATTATATAATTATAAGTTCATAAGAGAAGTATGAGTCAGAATATATGTCGATGACAATGACACATATTCTTAATCAATGGTTTTGTATTATTTACATTCCATTATAATATTATAACTAAAAAACTTTTTTTTTTTTTTTACTGAGCTAAAATTTGTAACATAAAATGATTTATTAAGACAGTGCAGTATAGGGAGACATATAGGCAGATCAGAAAACTTTGAAATTCAGCATAACTGAAACTCATCTATAACAATACAAGGCTTTCACAACATCAAACAATCGTGGGAAACACTACCAATTTTGCTACATTAGTTGTTTTCTTCATGTGTGAATGATCTCCATTTAATGACATAATTTTGGATGACCGTAAATATCAGTAAGTAATTTCATCGGCATGAGTTGCACAGTTCCTTTTCGAATGTAAAGTAATATTACATCTGCAGTTTTTACACTGTGTGCAATATGAATAAAAATTAGGAAAAAGTATAATGTTCCGAAGCTTGTAGTTAAATAATTCAACTGTGCGGTTATGGGAAGTCCCTAAACCAAAGATCTGTGTGGTAATATTAATTATCCCCAGGCTAAAGTGTTTCGATTCTATTATTGGCATACTGAGAACAATGTGTACGTATAGCAATAGAGAACCTCACATAATAAAATTAGTAAGCAACATTTGCAATTATATTAGAATATGGATATCGTGTTACATTGGACAAATGTTGCTGGACTAGTACTTTTTTTTTATTAAAAAAGCGCTTGTGCACCACGATTTTAAAACAATTCTAATTATTTATTAAAATACTTACATCTGCAATTTTTTTTTTCGATATGATGTTTAGACATTAATAATAGATTGCATCATAACAAATTTAATCCGAAATATAAATCACAGTATCACAACTAACTGCTAAGCTAAACAGCATACAATTCAAACAGATACTGACTATGTGAGATGATCCGGTTTTAAGCATTTGATCATGTGATGACCATCACCACTGTGGATAGATTTGTACACCTTGTCTCATAGACTTCTTGGCCAGCCATGTTAGGAAGAAACATTGAAATTGATTAGGTATTCCTGAAACCAATGCAAGAAGTTCGCGCAGAGGCTGATTTGCCATATTGTTTTGCCATTTTCCTTTCTACTTATAATATGAAATCACATCCTATGGAATTTCCGAATAAAGACCAATAGACCCATATGTGCCAAATTACAAAGTTTTCAATGGTTTTTAAAACAAATTGGTGATTTGTATCATAGAATTAACATATATTGATGAAAGATTTGAGGTGAATAGGGTGCATGATTAAACTTTGCAAGTATTCTCTTGTGTATCGGGATTATAAATAAACTATGACAACATTATTCTTGTATTCCATATCATGTTATTAATATCAGTTCTGATAGGCTGTTTCGCTAGATACAGGTAGTGGAAAAATCCCAGGGCAACTTGTTTCAGATGAGTAAAAATTACTACTTGATAAGAAAACACCAAGAAACTGATGAAGTATTAGAATGTTGAATTATATAAATGAATAATATTCAAACACAAATTTGAAGTCTCATGGATTTAACTTCAACTAATTACACATTTGCAAATCTTGCATTTCAATAAAGTTTAACCTCCTCATCAAATTGTCCAATAATAGGCATAATGAATCAGTTGTCTGAATTACATGTAAAAAACACTTTTGATATCTAACAGAAGGGCTATTATTAGTTTTGTATTATTTGTTGACAATACATTGGGTACATATCTCATCGATCTTATTATAAATTTCCTTACAGTTAGTTAATAGTACCCAGTTGAGTCCGTAATCAACTTTACCATGCTGAAGTCCTGTCACCTGACACCTATTTCATATTAATTTTGGTAAAAAATAAATATAATACAGGGCGCTATATTATATATACCCCTGTATTGTATTAAGTGAAAGAACTTTGATATGCTTCACGCAACTAATGGTGGGCATATAAAAGTTGTATTGAATGACGAAAAAAACCATAAATAAACAATGATTACGATAATAAAACAAACCTGTTTACAACCATCGAGAACTGTCTTCCTAACACAATTTTAATCATATCGGGACTTATGAACACCCTGAATATATAGTCTATCATAAAAAAATTGCAGTACTTCCAAGTTTTATCTGATCTAGCTTTATTTATGAAGCAGAAAATCCGTTAAAATAATTTAGTTCAACAAAAACATCAATATTTCTATGTATACAAATTCAGTGAAATTACTGCAAATTGAAGAAATTACAATAGAATTTTATTATATACTTATTCATGAATACAAAAAAGAAACATCAAGTCCAACTCAAATTTCATATTCAGTAGGGCATTTATGCTGTAATAGGATAGGATAATCGTTTACCTTCAAGCTTATCTTTATAATAACACTAAAAAGGAAAAATGAAATGCATAGTTCACCAATAGCCTTTCTAGAGCATCAAAGGTCACATTGCTACAAGAAGGTTAGTAACATAAAGCAATGGAAAAATAAACAGCTGTTTTATTTGGATCGATCAAGGTGCTAAGAGCTTGGCACCGGCATATCAGCTACTGCAGATAGTACAGTTATCATACACCAGTATTGCTATGAATCAGCATAAGAATGTAAAAACTAAAAATACATTTTAATCATGAAATTAATATTTGACATGAGCAAACAAGCATGATTCATCCATGGTCAATGTTTGGCAAAACAATTTCAGACTGTAAATTACCTAATATGTAAATCAGGGACATCCATATCAATTTTCAGGAATAGAATCATCAACCAATGAAAGCTATTCAGATGGCCCAAATAATAGTTAGTCACATAATTATCCATAACAAAAGGCATGAATAGTATAAAATGTCAGCCAACGCTATTAAATTCTTCAGATTAAGTAGGGAATGTATTCTCGTTTTTTAATGATGATTCAGCATATGAGCCATCAGTCTATCTCAAACCCTCTATAAGTTGTAGATATAGATAGAGAAGTAGATATTCCTTATTATGCCAATAAGAGGCCAATAAGCTATATAAAGGGATAAAACAAAAAATATCGAAACCATACATTGGGATGAGGTTATCCAGTACCAGTACGCAGTACTTACAAGTGAAGAATAAACCAAATGCCTTTGCAGCTATGAAACTAAGGAAGTTTTATTCCTCCATCTAATAGGCACAGCTGAGTAAGCAATGAATAATGATTTCTGTTCCCTACCAAAACCTATCTCAAAATAAATGACTCACATAGCCAGTACAGGAGCCACAACACGCATGAGCAACAAATGTTTCAGGAAATAAATGTATGCCACTATATAATTTTATTGTGGGGAACGTTGACGCTCATTATATGGATAATTCTAAATATACAACTGAACATTTCCAATAATGACATTATTTATATAAAAAAATATCACAAAATAAAAATTTTCTACAGAACAATCTATAGTCTACTAGAAACGCATGATTGAAATACCTTAAACACAAGTCTACTACTAACTGGTGATGGACAAACAAAACATGAATCAGAAATATATCCTGTAAATAATAATACAGTTATGATACAACAACCTAAGATGACTAAAACGAGTCGAATATTCAAATGCAATAGAAATTTTGGTATATTTGATAGTAAATTATGGATTGTAGAATATGTTTCGTTCGTAAAATCACAATTTTAGGGCCATAAATTAACACCGAAATACGATCCAAAATGAATGGTTCAGGCAATTCAAATTCCCTTTTAAATTGTCCACATTATCAGCCAAGGGCCGAAAACAAATACATAATAAACTGGTTCCAAATACTACCTAATGTGAAAAAAAAATAAATCCTATAAAGTGACACATTTTCATTTATTCATTTTTCCTCTCTTGAGAATAAATAAATACTCCAGAAATATAACTAAAAACGCGAGTGCAGACTATTTTTAAAAAAACTGTCATTTATAAAATTTTAGTTCTACTTCGATTTTATAAAATATAATATTTTTCATGCCGCTACAGAGTTTTCTAAAACACAGTAACTATAACTTGTATTATACCCAATATATACCATTATAATATATACATAATTGAAATTGAAAAACATATTGCATCTTACTGTATTTCCAATAGAGTTCAAGTATGGCCCAGTCTGATGAACACCACTACTGATAACAATGTTAGAAAACTTGCACTTGAGAATATTTTAGACAATTGAGATGAGTTTTGAATACCATCGACTGCCTTCAAATAACTTCACATGACATATATAGAGGCAACAAATAATACCAGTAAATCTTTTGCTTACAGAGATAAGACTGATCACAAAAGCAAACACATTATTAGATAAATCGGGGTACAGCGTGGTTCCAGTGTATAGTTAATGTTTAAGCTGTGCAAAGACACACATGTGACTGGCACTTTGTGCAAAAGTAATGAGAGCGCAGTATCAAGTACAGAGTATTGCCAACGACTGCTAATCTAATTTCAAAGCGTATTCAAATTGCAGGCAGTACAAGATACCAAAAACAGCCCTAAATATAAAGCCCTAAATATAAAGCCCTAAACAGCCCTAAAACAAATATGAAGCCATCTTTATCAATAAGTAACACTGTTTGAAATTACATGACTATATTTCTATCATGACATAGCAAAATTATTTAATTTAATGAAATGGCAATTTCCAAAATATTCTGAACTGAAATTTAGGGGATCCATGAAATCTGTCTCTGTTTTCAAAAAGTATTCCCCTTCAAACAAAAAAGGGTACATTGGGTAAAACTTATTAAATGGTAAAGAATTTGAAGCGATATAAAAAATGGCAATACATTCTGAATAACATTATCTAAAAATTGGAAATTTTTGCTTGGGCAATGACCTTAAATGGAGTTAGATAAAATGCTTATAGAAAAATGATTTTTGCGTTACACTATGACTTTGTTTCTACCTAATTTTATACAATTCATAGAAATGTAAATGGAATTCCGAAACAACATTTCGAAACATTCAACATTTCTGATATTAGTATAAATTCTTTTCAGTTCTTTACACTTATACTCATTCAAATATATGGTGATGAATACAATAGACAAATTCAAAACAGACTATCCTTTAACAATTTTACATTTCAAATTATTTCAGTGGTAAAATTTAAAAAAATAATTTGTGTTCTTAAAGTCATATATCAGTTTCAGATTTATTCATAACCAGAGCTTTACTTTACAGTTACAAACGCAAATTTAACTCTACAGATTTGTAATGAAAATAATAATCGAATAATCAATTAACAAACACTCTCAGCAGTACACTACCTGAGTGTCCACCAGAATAAAATAGCATCTTAATAGGAATAGTTTATATCGTCAGCAGAACTGACATTTCACACATTGATATAAATAGTAGTAATTGTTCAGTACCCTACTTTTAGATTACAAACAACTAATCAATACCAAAACAATGGACCATTCAAATTTTCGGAAAGAACATGAGGCGAACAAAAATAAAACTGTATACATAAATTCCAAAATAAATATAACCATCTCCAAGATTCTCAATTCTTTTAGATATTATGGAATGAAATCATTTTGTTACAGTGATACATACTGTCATAGCTATATCTGTTTTAGTTGTGACATTAGGTGGTGCCTTCTGTCTATATTTAGGTCTGGCTGATAGAATCAATCTATTACAAAAATTTCATTTACTTTAATAAACCATAAAATGTGACATAAGCAAATTTAGTTCTACTGTGGTGTTTTGAATATACATTCTTATCCTGAAGAAAAAAACATTTTTCTGGTTCAAAATTTATCACATATGAACAGCACGTTTTTCACAATAAAACCGATAAAAAAGAAACCAATGTTATTAAAAATTAAAGTATAAACATACCAGGCATATTTGAAATGTAGGTCTCCATATTTACAGATGAAACATCTAACACTTCAACTCCATTCATAATCTGGAAATATAAGAAATTCATTATATTTATTTAATGAAATATCTCTACGGCACTAGTATTTAATAAATCACAGGTTGGAAACTAATTCATCACATATGACACAAATTTATAACTCTTTTTAATACAGTCTCAAATTTAGTAATGATTTATTGACTATTGGTATTGATCAATAGTAATGGTAAGGCAGAATGATAAAAGGAAAGAGGAAACAGTGGGAGATTTTAGACAGCATTATATTGACAATATAAAAACTTTTTCACAATCTAAAGAAATAAACAGAATTATGAAATTTAATTATGAAAATTAAAGAATTCTAGAAGCCTCTGCTGAACATGTTCATAAAACTATTCTATAACTATTACCTGCACTACTGAATATTATTTATATTGGACAATTTTCTCTTCCATGTAAGTGGCAAGAAATTTAATTGACAAGTAAGGCGTGTTAGGGTAAGTAACAATTAGAAGAATGTAATTGAAGAATCTTGGCGTTTGCTTCCTTTGGGAAATTAAGTATTAGCTTGGTTGATACAGCAGAGCATGACTATGTCGCTTGAGAGTTACTACTTACTAATATTAGTCTTAGTGAAATTTGACATAGTAAATTATTTTCAGGCGATTCTTTATCATGAAACACGGATTTTAGAAAAGTGATATAGCAATGCGCTGCCCAAATGAATTTAAATTTGACTTCTTTTCTTTTGGCTCTTCACTTGGTTTAAAAATTGTAACAGATTGGTAATCTGTTTAATCCAAGAATTATTAATTTGCTCACAATATTGACTCAAATTCTACAGGACTGCTTTAGACAGATATTATGATATGCTTGTTAAAAAATTCCTCACTATATTGATGAAGATAACTTTCAGGACCAGCAGGACGTACTGTGGTATGGAAAGTACAAGCTTTTGTGACATATGTGCCTAAAACTCAGTATTTCAGTTTTGATTTGTTATGATATTGATATTCCACCAATCAAACAGAGATCTATAGAATTGGCTTGCCGAACTATTTGGTTTAATTTAATTTATTTTGATATAATTGAACCGATCGCAGTACAGATATATCATGGTTTTACTATGGCATGATGGCGTCCTTGCTAATTTTAATATCACAGTAGGAATATTACAACACTGCATTGATAGTCTATATAAACGTTCGAAAAAGTCTGAATTATGAACTAGCGTATACTTTTGAGCTCCAATAATTGTGATTTGATAGTTTTGAGGTTTAACACTAGCACTATTAGATATTCGATTAGGAACCGATAAATCCCAATTGTACAGAAGATTATTGCTGATGAGGAACAGATATATTTTTATGTGTTTTAATGCAACAAGATGTCATTATATTATTAGGTGACTAGAAATGTATTTGATTCAATTGATACCACTGAACAATTTGCTGATTTGTACATTTAGTTTATTGCGCAGTGCCGGTTTGTCGAATTGTGCCGATATCTGGATATGGAGGCCAAGACTGTTTTGTAAAGAAGGGGTATGCATTCACTGTTATATTTGATGTCTTGTGGAGGCTATTCTTGGAATCGGAGAACTGTGCCGTACTGTCTATACTGCAATACCCGATTCATTTCACAGTTTCTTGCATTTAAGCTACAGTACGGCACAGTTCTCCGAGTCCAAGAATAGCTTTCACATTCAAAGACATCAATCTCAATCTCAAACTGGAACTGCGCAATAAACTAAAAGTGAAGCGTGATCTAAAAAGTCACCATTGATTCCAGAAAAATAATCCGATTACCGAGCAAAAAAATTCACTGTCAAGAGTTTTTAGCAAAAAACGCAATACAGGATAACTCATGCGCGATGTGACGCATCTGCCACCTCGCCAGAGGCAATCGTTTTAGCGACAAATAGAGTGCTTGTTTTATTGAACCAAATGTCATCTTAAAATTGGAGAACTGTGTGCTACTAAACTAATGTAATGGCTGAATGGTACAGTTCTCAAATCTACATTGCTTTACTATATTCTTGTCTGGTTATAGGCTACAGATCAGGATAAACTCAAGATCAGTCACTTGTATCCTCCTGTCCTCAGCGAGGTTATAATTCTTTGAATTGAAATCTGGTTAATTTGGTTCTAGTATCATGAAACTTGGACTAGACATGAAATGACTGGCATGACTTTTACTAGATACAGAGATAGCCCAACATTTAGATCTTTGTTTATGTGCAATAAGATTTTTAAGTCTTCTCCTTCCTGCCCTCTCTATCCAGCTATCACATTGCAGCATTGTCCTGTTGTCATAGTATCACTGACACATACACAGTTACAGCTGTACAGACAGGATTTCGGGATTGCGCAAATTCATGACAGCATCCGGGACATGTGAACACTGGAACATGGATTTTTATTAATATTTATTTTATTTCACATGGTTCACATTTACTTTTTGTAAATGCGTGTTGGTGAGCGAGCACATCATACAGTCATACTCATCATGTTTCGAAATTTTTGAAGGTTTCGCTCGCTCTCCAAAATTCTCCATACCGGTACTGCCATACAGCCATATTTAATTTATGTGTATTGTGGAGTTTTCAAAATAAATCTATCTATCTTGAGTGAAAACGTACCACTTTTTCTGGGCAAAACCTTTCATCTTATATATTATGTACGACTGTACGTTTTAAACCTTGAAGCCTTGTCTGAGGTTTTGTTTACTCTCCTGATTTCATAATCAGTATTTATTAATTTGTTTTTATCAATCATTTCGTTACCTGTTACTGTGTTATGTTGATTATGGGATCGAAATAAACTTAAACTTATAAAGCAGGCAAATGCACAATGATTGGGCTACCGGTACGGTATCCAGGTAACAGGTACCGTACCAGGGTACCGTAACACTGTAATACCGGTACCGTAATCCAGTAATGCTGTCGCAGTCTGACATTCATGACATTAGTAACTTTGGAACTTACCGCAATACCCGTCAGTTGTCACAGCACTTTTCCCTTTCACCCCAAACTATGGTGAATCAATCTTTTAATCTAATCCAGTCTGTGATTCCACCGTCGTTAAACGCCCACAATTCGCCCGCCAGCTAAACGCCTATGGCCTGAACTAAGCTGATAGGAACCGCTTAGCAACGAGGAATGAATGAAATTACATCGAAGCGCAAGGACTAAACACGCGGCCGACGCTCGTGTGTGCTGTCCACAGTGCGTGAACGTAACGTCAACGACGCAATGCGTGATCTGCGTACGAATCCCTCGTGACTTTGATGCAGAAGAACCACTGGAAGCAGTGCAGCCCAACTTCAAGTATTTTAGTGTGTTACGCCGAATGTATCTAAATATTATATTACGTGAGTGTATATCTTATAAACCTTCTCCATTGGGTTTTTGGGTATCATTTTTGATAGCTAAGATATTCGTGGTGGATTGTGCTCATTTGTGACCAAATGTATATCTTTGTACCACATCTCTGAAACCATTAGTTACAATTGTGATATTAGAATCACTATGAAATCACGTATTCACTTATTCATATCCAAACCCCGTTCAAAATTTTGGAGACTTTTCTGAATTCCCGTTCTATTCGATTGTGTTGAACTGACGTAAATAAATACTAATACGGTATCGACGCTACTGCTTTCTTCCTTCATTCTGGTCTTTCATTTCCATTTATTGGTTGTGGTGTTGTATGCCTAACTCAGTGTTTCCCAACCCGAGTCCGCGGGGCGTTTGAATGAGTCCCCAACGAGCAAGAAATTCACTACGGGCCGCAAACGTTTTTGCGAAACTTGACCAGCCAAGTTACGATTTACGTTAGAATTTACATAGAACATAAAAAGCAAGTTTATTCACATAACAATAATCGAGTCAATAATTACTGGATACTGAGTAGGGCTGGGCATATATTCAAAAAGTCAACTATTAGAATAGCAATTTACTATTCGAAAATTTGGTAACAGGTGACGCGTCAGGTCAATCGAGTCGATAATTACTGAATACTGAGTAGGGCTGGGCATATATTCGAATAGTCAACTATTAGAATAGCAATTTACTATTCGAAAATTTGGTAACAGGTGACGCGCACTTAATCAAACGATTGGATTTCACAACTCACTTGCCGATTTCCGACGAAAACACGAGTCGGCACACGCGTGGATTGAAACCTAAGTGGTGTTTCTCGCGAGCTCGAACAACGAGGAATAATTTTTTTCTGATGGGTGTCAATGGTGGCTACCTAAATTTCTAAATTGAAAAGCGGCAATACAAAATACTGAAAATAAAAAAAAGAACACCATAAGTTTTGTTTTATGATGGTCAGCGACCGATTAAAAACGCTTTTTTAGACATTGCAAATCGCAAAAGTTCGGGTGCTACCGTAGTATATATATCAGGGCATTTTTCCTTAGGATCATTTGCTTTACAGCCTCCACATTGATACGAACAGTATTGGGGCGGCGTAAGTGTTGTACGAACAGCTCAGATTCGTCGAATTTACAAAAATACGAATCAAAACAAAATATAATCGGGCACTTTACCACGCATTTTTGTGTCCACGGATTGTCATGATATTTTCTGAGTAGTATTGCTTTTATTTCGTCAACACAACCGCATATTAAAATGATCACAATTAAATTAATATTAAAGCAAGGCGATGAATATTTTTTTATTTGATTTACTAATATACTTCAATCACATTTTTGATAAGTACTAAATCAAGTTGTACTTTCCGGAAATTTATAGCAGATAGTAGGATTTTTTGCGAACAAATTCGCAAGATCGCAAAAATGTATCGCAGATATGTATCAAAACTAAATATCATCGGACATTATTATGTTCGCAGATTGCCATGGCATTTTAAGAAGTCATGCTTTCATCTTGTCATTAATCGACGCAACCGCAACCGCGAGTGATCATGAACACAATTAAATTAAAATAGGAAGACATTTTAAATTATCGTCGTTGGCATGGAATGAATATTGAGCGACAGAAAAGGCCATTTATACACTAAAAAAGTCGGCTCTTTTAA